ATTCAAGCAAGGCCGAAAGTGTACCTCTCGCGACAGTTTGAACAATTTTGTGAAATTCAGTCACGCTATTTTCCACAAGTTTCTTTGGTCCATCACGTGTCATGATCCCCCACCCCCCAGGGGGCCCTCCAGGAGGGATCGCCACTGATGTGGTATTGTGAGTCGTGCGGGGAAAGGTGAAAGACCGTAAATGTACCACTGGCACATTGCAACCTTGCCACAATGGATAGGGATTCAGGCATGGGCACCCAACGCAAGTCCCTGGAGACGAAGATTGTCATCCTAAACTCACAACAGGAGCAAGGTATGCGTGAGGCATTACCACCGGGGAACACATTGTGCAGCATGATCTCCTTTTCGTAGCCAAACAATAAACAAAGCATTATTGGGGCTGCAGCGGTGGACTGATCAGGGACTAAGTGAAAACTGTTTGGAAGCAGACAGGCTGAGCCATTGCGTGAGGGTTTCATGGTATCAATGGTGCGCAGGTGATGGAAAAGAAAACACCCCAAGAAACACAGAAACAGAGCATAAAAATGCAGGTGCAATGGCAGCAACACGGTACATGAGCACATGAGGGCATCATGCCTTGAACTAAATCACCATGCCACCAAAGAAACATTGCCAAACATGTGCCACAAAAGCATCTAATTGCCCAGGAGCCTGAAATAGGCTACAAAAGCACTATTAGCAAGCTCCCACCAGTTTGTCATGATGCTATACACAGGGATGCAACTGGGCTTTGCTTCAATCCAACGCTGATGGCAAACACGCATTAGCTTTGCACCCATCAAGCCCATTGCCCGCAATGTAAGCAGAATAGATCATAAGATCTGAGTGATATTGGAGATGTCCTCACCTGCCTTGGCCACTGGCCAGTGCTTTCCATTTCTTGGCAATGCCAAGAGGCCTCTTGAGCCCCAGGCTCCAGTCCAGTCCATCGCCAGAGGCAGACGGATCCGCAGAGGCCACCATTGCCACTTTGTTCCACAACCAGTGCTCTGTTTCAACGGAAGCGTTTGTGGGGCGCCAGGACCACGGTTCTCGTACTGTCGCTATGAAATTGTTCAGCCAGGCCTGCAGGCGAAACGACAACTGCTTTCGTCTGTGGCATCAGTGATCGAATCAAGGCATGGGCAGCTTTGAATGTTAAAAGAGATATGCACAGTACAGCATTTGCTTCTTGGAAGCAGCTTGGAGAACAGAAATTCTCTTCATCAAAGCGCTCACTGCCTCTTGCCAGCCAACGTCATGGGCCATTTGGAGGGACGAAGGCTCCCAGGTGCCCCACCTCCCAACCCTCATGTCCAGCAGAACTTCACTGCTTCACTATTTAGTTACCATTGGCATTGGCCGAGCTGTGTGCCAACGAAGGAAACTCAACACTTCTCCCATCCATTCCTTTGCTGTTGGCAATCTTCCTGAAGAAGTTTCCCAGTGATTGCCCAGCACAACATGCCGCAGAGCACGTGTCCACACGTTCTGCCATACTGTTTGACAGATCCGTTATTTGCATGTCATCTTGCTGCTGTACATGTACAGCAGCATCCCCTTCCATCGCAAGTTTTATCTATTGCCCATTGATTCTGTAGGGGTTTGTGATTTCTGCGACCTTTCATGTTGTCGATGGAATCAGTGACAATCTAGTGCCGTCTCAGTGTCATCGCTCAACAGCGACCATGACAACCATGTTTGCTGTGAATGTGTGTCAAGGTTGCACGCATACAAGGTCAGTGAGGTGGCACAACGCCCCACAACTTTTCTGTTAGGATGGGTGCCGGGATGGACTCCTTATTGTGTTTTGGAGCTTTTGTAGCGTTTTGGAACATAAGTCAGCGAGGAGAACAAACACCACCCAGCACATGTTATGGATGGAATTATCCTGCCATTGCCTTGACAGTTCAAAGGCAGCACTTTGAGATTTTGGCAAATGCTGTTCAACAGACAGCCTCTCATTCAAGTTCACCTTCGTCGGCTGTGCCTGCAATTCCACACTCAGCCCCAGCCCCTTCTCAAAAGTAGGCTGAACTCTCAGCTTGTCACCAGCCAGCCCGAGGCCAACCTTCCAGATGGCCAGAGGGCAGTCCAGCATGCCCGAAAAGCCAAACTGCAAGCCGTATCCCACCTGGTGACCCCAGGCACGGAACTGTGAAGTCAGTGAGCCCTCCACATCAACAGTGTCTCCCAGAATGTTGCACTCATCTGCACGGCAATACCACCCGACCATCAGCTGTGGACCAATTTTCCCCCCAACTGGCCGACACCCACAGCTCACAGTTCGTCCACTGTGAAGGTGGTACAAATAGCACCCTCCTGCTGACAATTGCACAAGACAACATCTGCGGCTGTCACAGATAGTGGACTGCCAGCCAATTGCACTGTATTCAGCAGCACACTGTGTCGTTGGGGGTGAATACCAACCAGCAGCAAGTTCCAAAACACAGGCAATACATATAAGGACGAGATGGAATTGCTGGCATCAGTCATTGCATTTCCACTAAACCTAATGGGACAAGCTTCTGCTGCAGTCCAACTTCTCTCATCAACAATTTTTGCCTCTGAGCAACTGTGTGTCGCATGCTGTTCCTGTCAGGCTGTTACTGTTTCTGCATCCGGGTATTCGGTATTGACAAGACTGTAGCCAAACTCTTGTTCATGGAGCACTGCACATGGTCATGAACATGTTCCTTTATTCCAGGAAGATGATCCCAATCTTAGGGACAAGGGGATCCAGCATGACAGCAGGCCCTGTGGGTATTTCAAATGAGGGTTGTAGTTGTGCGCAACTGCAACAACTCAGAAGCAATACTACAATGGTGGAAATGGATTGTTGATCAAGAAGATGCTCCTGATCTTAGGTACAAGGGGATCCAGCATGACAACAGGTCCTGTGGGTATTTCAAATGAGGGTTGTAGTTGTGTGCAACTGCAACAACTCAGAAGCAACATTACAGTGGTGGAAATGGATTGTTGATCAAGACTACACAGATTGGCTATATTGGTTGAAATTGCCTATATTGGTAGAAGTTCTGGGTGGCGAGACAGGTGTCCCAGTAAGGGACAACATCGCATTGCTTAATTTCTCTTTGGCAAGCCCTGAAGCCAACGGGCACTTCTGGCCTCTACAGCACGTGTTGCAAGAATGCACACGATTACCACAATTGGCTTGTCCACACTCTGCATAACTGACCAAAAAAGGCAGGAAGCCCAAAATCTGAAAGATACAGCAGCTCAATCATCGTGTAAAACAGCAAACCTCCAGTCTACCCTTCAGGGCTGTGCTCCCACGCTAGTATGACCAAAGACAACGTGAGCAGCCTCTTGTCAATTCTCTTTTCTTCAAGAAAAGAGGGAGCCAATTCCAAAAGCACTGCTTAGGAGAACATATCATTGGGAGGAACAGTCTCATCCACACCCAAAAATGCAAATCTGACTTGCTATTAAATTCTATCGTCAAAATCAGCAGAAGAGGTGTCCTCAAATTTGTATCCATGATACAAATCTGGACTGCTACACACAAGCGCGTCCACACCATTAGGGAGGGAAGGGGAAGGGGGGGCACTCTTTTGATGCAACATGACCTGTGCGATAGCAGGCTACAATGGCACAGCTATCAATGGCTACAAATAGTGGGCTGTACAAAGTTCACCACAGCATAACTTGGGCACAGGCGGGAGCGACCATTACCTACTCGTCAGAGCGACTGGACCTTGCATGAACACCTTTGTACTGGCTGACTTGGCAACCTCTGACACACCAAAGCTCACAGCCACCAGGTCTTCAGCATCTGCCGATTCCGATGCATAGGAAAGCGAGACAATGCAATTTTCGTCCTGTGGCACATGGATCCACGCATGACAACGTGAGGCCGCACTGATTGCATTCCCCCAAAGATGACAATTGTTGCCAGGTGTGGGCAAGGTCCTCCCAAGTCAGTAGGAAACAAGGCCAAAATACATGTTGATGGTGCAAACTCTTTCCTGATATTGTGGGCTCATCAGCAGCTTGGTTTTGGTGTTGGTGGTCACCAGCAACTGAAGAACCCAAGATTTTACAACTGTAAAGGGCTGGCTGGCAGCCACAAGGCGATGTACCAAGCAGGTACACAGACATGCCATACCCAGCTGTGCACGTCTTGCGAGCCCACTGAGGACACAAGGAGCATCGGGCCAACAATCGGTCAGATGCCTCGCCACAGGCATCCAGTTGTTGCTGGCAGCAGTTTCTAACATTATTTTATTACCCCTGAGAGGGATTCCACCTCACCTTGGACGCTGGTCTGAATTTGGCTTCAGCATTCACCTGGTAGTAGCTGGAAACAGCAAGCCCGCTGGCACCAGTGCAGCACAGCTCCACCTGCTGTCCATTTTGGATGCCTCTTTCGATCTTGTCGCAGAAATTCTGCCTGTCGCGAGGAAGCAAATCACCAAGAAGAGGAAGAAACATGAGAACCCCAGCGTGCCAACCTACCCTTCTTTCAGACCAAGAAGGCATTCATACACGGACAACCTTTTGGGATTTCATTGCTTCGCAGTTGCTTGTTGGGTGCTCTTCTGTCAGGATAGGTGTGGCTACTGGACTCTTCAACGGAATGCAATACTTTGAAATACAAAAGACAAACGAGGCTATCGCATGACTGTGGAGCACTCGCAATCTGGACATCCGTTTTGATAGCATTCGTCAACATACGACAAAGCGACGCCCTTGCACATTTGCGGCGATGTCCAGCGCGCAATCTCAAAGCAGATCAATCAACTTCTGGCCCCTCTGCAGCCTGCTCCGAGTTCAAAATGGAATTCAACCGACCTCCTCCTTCGCTCCTGGAAGGCGGCAACGACATGTACGTCCCACCACCCCAGACACCAGTCCGGCAGCGTGGACCCATTCGCACCGTCCGCATCTGAAAACAACGAACGGGACAGCATTCAGGCCCTTGCCGGTTAGGGGATGTGAGAAGGCAAAAATGAAACGCATCAAAGCGAAGGTCTCGCAGGGCAGCACAGGTACTGCTAGAAGTTGTGGAGCTGGTTTGGAACGCGCAGCTCTGCTTCCGCAACCACCAATTAATGGCGCGAACAGCGCGCGATATACTGGGGGTAACTGGTGCTGGTCAGTTCCCAGCAGACGCCGAACACCCGGTGCCGTCAAACATGGGGCAGAACGCAAGGAGCAGGGCGCATGTCCAAATGCTCGCGGACGACATTGGGTTGGATCACTCACCGGGCGAGGCCAACTTTCTAGCTCGCGGCAAGGAAGCAACCGAGTCGCCGCCGTCAGGCAGCTGTGCGTCCCGCACTGCGTGCAGCTCCGACAGGGGGGTGCCACGCTGGCGCCGGTCGAGGAGGTGTGCTAGGTGCCTCAGCGGGCTCCAGGGTACCATCAAGGGACGAACAGTCCACAGCGCGACGGCCAGCAATCGGGCACGTTCCAAGGTGCTCCATCCAAATCTGCTCGCTCCCCCTTTTCGTACGTTCCCAGCTTCGGTTTCTTCGTTGCTTCCACCCGGTCTTATAGGACAATCATGAGGTTTCTTCTACGTGCGATTCTTTGGAGATGTTCACAGGGAGCCGGTGCCTTTCAAATCTTCTTTCTTGATAAGTTTGTCGATTGGTCGAGATTTCACCACCACTTTACACCAATATGCTGCATCAAACTGCAAGTACGCATTATTTAGCACTTTTACTAAGGGAAAAAAACTTGCGGTGCCAACTGCGATGCCAACTAGCACTAATTCATGCCACCACGGTAATTGCGATGACATCAAAGGAGCTATTATGGCATCGATTCTGTCACAAGACGTGGCAATTGGCCTTGCGAAAAAGAGTTTTCTGCTGTTGATTAGGGGGTACAAGGAGCTTCGAATTTGCCTGGTGCTCCGCAGATGAACTGTACCTGCTTCCTGGATGCACCCCAATGGAACGTTCCAAATTATGCAGTTTCCAACTTGTTGACAAGCTACGGGCTTCAGGTTCCGTAGCCCCCCTGTGTATTGGCACACCAATTCGCGGGAGGGATTCAGCTACCAAAACAAAACAAATGCCTAGTCGTTGTCATGCTCGACATGTAAAACCGCCACTCCACAATTGAAATCGCAATAATTGTGATGTTCTCCTGGTGGCGACTGTAATGGAGGAGCCACTTCAACAAAGTGATGCAAAACGCGTAGCATGATCGGTTGCTGCCATCATCAGCGCTGCAGTACTATGCAGCGGATGCCACGACACAGCTGATCCTTTGGAGCCTAGAAACATGAAAAAAGCACGGAACTGGCGCACAGGCCGCGACCCTGTCTAATGGAGGCGTGCGAGACAATGAGGCTGCTCAGACTGGCGAGACTGTTAAGGGAGCTTTTCTCGCCCCTTGTTTTGCTACAAGCTGATGGAAAGAAAAGTGAAAGAGCTGGCGATTTCCCAAATTATTCCACAGCAAGGCCGCCACAGGACTTTGTATTGTAAGCTCTGACGTGGCACAACTTGGCCAGTTTGTAGGTCAGTAGTGCAACGCTATTTCTACACATGCCACGGCTGGTCTTGATGGTCACATTGGTTACCGTAGACTTGCCTCAGTAGGTGTCACTTCTTTACCATTTCCTGCGACAGTCTTAGGTACCGTCATTTGGATACAGTATTGCTTTCTCTTTCCTAGCCCGCTCCCAATCTCCATATCATAATTACTTTCTAATGGATTGCAACACTATCTCGGGCGAGTCTTCTCCCACCTAGTATATTTATACGGTATAAATATACTAGGTGGGAGAAGACTGGTAACCATATTGGTAACCAATATTCCCACAGTGTCCTATCTAATGCTTAGGCTCACAACTGCCTTTGCACGAGCCAAGGGCGTGGTTGGCTGTTCTCGGACTGTCCAAAAACATGTTGCCACGTGACATCCACGTCTATTGATCCCAAGCGAAACCATTACTCGCTCCAAGGTCTTCCATATTAATATGGAAGCATGTGTGGAATATTCCACACTTGCTAACAGTGTAGGCCAGAAGCCACGAAACTGGGGCTGCACTTCCCTCTGGTACGGAGTATGCAAACTCGGTGGCCTTCATATCTTCCCTTTTTAAATGCAGCTTTCTTTCCTCCTTCCGGCTACCATGTGTCTTTCTCTTGAATGTTCAACATCACCCGCGTTCAGCACATTCCTTGTGGCGCGAGCGCTCACGGCGCTGCAATGGAATCAGGCCACGGGCGGTGTTGCCTTCTTCTGCCACTGCCCTTGCGGTACGCCCGCGTCATCCCTCGCACCAAGTCCCGCCAATGGTCCACATTCAAACCACCCATGCACCACTGTTGTACTGAGAGTTGATCGAGTATTATCAATAGTTGGACGCATTAAGAGGTGATGAGACATTGAGAACTGAATCAAGGACTCTGATGAACGGACCGGATATAAGGGACAGAATTCCTGTTGTCCCCTGGCGCCGCTGTAAACCGTTGCCGTGTAATCGTTCCCAATGTCCCCACTCAGGGGGCCGCCAACCCTGGACCCTGCTGGCCTTCGTCCCCCCAATGCACAGCCTTAAATGCCATTGCCGTCAAGGCAGCCTGGCATGGCCCAGACATATCCCCACCCCCTAACCACCCTCTCATCAGTTTTGCGCACGGCCCGGCGCACAACCGCCGACCCGGGGCCCCCATTTACGCCCCCGGCTGCTTCCAAAGCGCCTGCGCCGCGGAGGCGACGCCGGTGGTGCCCCTTCAGACCCCAGCGCCCAAGATCCGGTAGCCGGCCGCTCCACCCACGAAGACCCTTTGCCGGGCCCTCGCATCTTTGCGGCCACCGCGATGTCGGCCATGGCGCCCCTCGGCGTGGGGCCCCTTCGCGTGGCTCGCGCCGGGAGAGTCAACTTCCCGAAGACGGTTTGCGGCGTTGGATGGCGTCGTGGTGAGTGTCGATCCCTCCGTCGCCTTCTTCGGCCGTCCGCTGTCTCCCGAACGAATGCGGATGCCTCGATGCGCCGGTCGCTCGAAGCCGCGATGGCCGACCCTCGATTGGGGACAGCCCTTAGAGGGTCTGCCTTTCGGCGTGCGGCCCGTGCACCGGTTTGCGCGGCGGCGAGGTGGTCCGAGCGTGGCGTTTTCGTCGGCCCAATCCACCACTCCAGCAGCGCGCGATCTCCGCGGGCGTTGGCGCCTCGCGAAGGGCGCGGGCCGCGTTAAGTGCGGCTTCCGGGGATCCTGGGGCGCAGTTTCTGTGCGGAGCAGCGCGATGGCAGCGCGACGTCCGTCGGGGACGGTTTGGCCGCCCAGCAGTGACGCCCGTCGCCGCCCCCTGTCGCCAGCGCCGCGACCCCTGGGCGCCAGCCGTGGCCCTCGCCGCGTCCGCGAGATCTGCACTGACCCACGGGGGTTGGATGGACTCGGTGGAAGCGACGCGCCTTCACATAGGGATGGAATGCCGTGCACGTTGGAGGGGACGTCACCCAACCTTTGCGATGATTCGCTTGTCCTCATTTCGCCCGGCGCTCGCTGGGAGGTGCTGCAAATGTGCTCTGGCTGATGAATGTTGTCCACAGCCAGACGCTTGCGTAGCTTTGCGATTGTTTCTTGAGTCCAGCCCCGCATGCCGCACTCGAGCAGAACTGCTGCAAGCTGCGGATGCCGCTGCTGTCAGGTCCTGTGGAGCAGCGAGGGACCGTCGCGCAGTGCGTTTGGTCTCTTGAGATCCCGAGCGGCGTTTGCGCCTGCAACACAGCTAGTCGAGCCAGTGGCAAAGGAAGGCAGATCCAGGGCAATGTTGGCAAACCTGAATGGTTCTCGACGACTCCATGCACGCGCTCGAGACGATGTTGATGCAGTGATGGATTGTGGGCGGCCTGGTGCAGTTCTGTCTTCAGTGTGCCCCACACGTGTGGAGAAGAGGCTGGCAGCCCACATACCCTTGGAATGGAGCACACACCTGATACATATGTGGCCACAAATTGTCAGTCGATTACTGTTTGTTTGCAGTTGACCAGTTGTTGTGTAAGTTTGTCCTTTACCAACGACTGCATTGCATATGATACAATAAATGAAAACTGAAAACCCATCACATAGCAGGGTTGGGTACAGGTCAAGACCGAACCAGCAGACTTCTGTCACAGCACAGCTGTATGCTTGATGGACACAAAGCCGAATGTTTGATGAGCCACAAACGAAGAATTTGCAGTGAATCAACACAATGAGGTGACGGGGAATGCAGAGCAGCCTCTCTCACAAAAAATGTTCCAATTTCATTGATGCGTCCATGTTTGGTCCCTCCGATTCGGGACCTTGGCACAGTGAGGGGGAAGCATAAGACTACATTGGCCAATTCTATCAAAAGATTGCGCACTGTTGCCCTCTCACCTGCCACTGAGGCTGGGCATTGGCTGCAAGCTCGAGCGTTTCTTCCTCGATGTCTCTGCGTCCTTCCCCAACTGTTCCTACGTCAGCAAAGAACGCCCCATTTGTAGGATGTCTTTAGCCCATTAGCCCAGGGGTTAAGTGCAGGCCAGCATTTCTGCTGCAGCTCCTGTCAATGGAACTGTTAAGTGAGAGTAGCTGCCAGAAGCCATTCCATTGTATCTTCGGTCATCAATCGAGTAGTTCAGCCTCTACAGAGGCACATCTGCAGTGCTGACACTATACAACATCGCTCCTTTGGGCGAAATAGATACTGGATAGAGTGGATTGATTCTTTCCCAATTTGGGCTTGCGCCCTTTAGATTTAAACAAAAGGATGTAGCAAAATGTATGGAATATCTGGTTGTGTGGGCATTCACCCATTCTGTACCAACATCATTGTTTTTGGTTTAATAATTGTATGCCTTCATAAGAGCGCAGCAGTGTTCAAAATCCAGCTGCCAGCCACAACCTAATTGCTCTACATTTGGGTTCAGGATGAACTTTGCTGCAGGTGTAAGGCTTCGTTCCACTAGAAATCCAGTCTGAATACAATGGTATGATTGACAGCACACGTCCTTGCAGGTACAGATTGCCATTGGTGTATTTTTAATATCATAGTAAAGCATTGGCATATACCATCATATGGCATTGTGGTTGGCATCAATGCCAAGTTTTTGCAGCTCAACAAGCGCTGCATTGCATTGAAGGGTGTTCATTCGCTGAGTTGTGTGGCTTTTGTTAGGTGCTGCTCTGGCACATGTGCAGGTCCCTGTCTGCCCACGGCAGATGCACTGTGGGGCTGCTGTCAACAACACTGGCGACTGGGGTTCCACACACAAGGGCACCGATGGGCCTGAGGGATCCTTCAATGGTGTGGAGAGGGCTATTCAGGTGTGGTCCACATCCGCAAACGGCCAATCTTGTTGGCGGTACTTGTGTCAGCACATTAATAGCGCCGCTGCACTAGAAAACATGGACCCCCTGTTGACCTGTGTGTTCCTGTCACCACCATATGGCCCCCAAATGCCACCAGTGCACCGCAAAGCATGGAGCAAGCAAATCTCTTGAATCATTGCAGTGAAATGGATGTACTTTGCAGCCCATCCGCTTGGTACGGAGACCTTTCCGCTCCAATATATTGGTCCTTTGCCCCCTTAAACCCTGCAAAAGGAGAGACTGCATATGTGGCTGTGCAATGCACCCTGCAGGACGTCTTCTTTAGAAACCAACCTTCAGGGCGCAGCGGATGGGAAGAGGTTGAGAACTGCTGGATCCTTCGGCCACCTCCAGGCGTTGAGCCCATAGCTGTCATGCATTTTGTGGGGGAAGCCTTTGTTGGTGCAGCCCCACAAATTGCATACAGGCAGCTGCTGGAGGCCATTGCCGAAAGAAGAATATTGGTGAGTGCCAAAGTTCATTTTTGTGGTTTCCTGTATTTGATATCCCATGGGCTTATTCTTCCAATCCGAAATTCTGCAGCACGTTTGAAGCCCAGGTGTCTTCCAGGAGTCCCAACAGCCTCAATGGAAGAGATATTGGCCTTGTGCCATCTCACAAGAAAGCGCAAGATGTAAAAGCCTGAAACATAGATCTGGACCGTGCGAAATTGGATGTATGACCTCAACGAAGATCGCAGCTCTGATCATATCAAGATCATATCAATAATCTCAACTGCTGAAGAGTGGAAAGGGGGTAGGGAGTGGGGAGTGGGGTTGGTGGGGTTGGTGGGGTTGGTGGGGTTGGTGGGGTTGGTGGGGGTGGTGGGGGTGGTGGGGGTGGTGGGGGGTGATCTTGGATCAGAGCAAACAGCAATGCCTCTCACCACTAATGAACGACGGGTGCTGTTGACACACATGTTGGTATGCAGAGTGTGTGGGAGTGATGCGTACAGCCTGTCCAACACTGAATGCTGAAGACTGGCCAAGAACACATGAGACACCATCGATTTTTACGGGTGCTTTAGCTCAGTATTGATCCTGGAATATGGAAACAGCTGCAACACTCAGCAGTATGCTTTGTCAACTTCAGATGTGACCTTTTAGACTTGTCAATTGTGCGATGTTGTTGATTTGCAGGGCACAAACCCTCGCTTGCAGCACACACATGAACTTGATTGCACATCAATGCTGGTGAAGATGTCACCTGGCATACAGTTTTTGTATGCGTGCAGTGTTCAGATGTCCTTTGAGGGCAAACAACTTGCAGTGTCAGCGAGTCTTTGGTATCACTTCTTTCTAGATTAAGGCACTGGGCACTTGTCAGACACCTATTGCGTACCAAATACGTAGTGTGTCCACAACCTCAAAGAGCATATGTGTTGAACGTTGTAGAAGTGCTCTCACGATCAATAAATCGTTGCTGGGGATTTGGGGAGCTGTGGAAAGATGCTGGATTTAACTGGGGGTCAGCCCAAGTAGCCCTCTCGATGTTGCGCCGCCCTCGTATCATCAGGTGACCGGCGAATATCGTTTTGTGCAACGTGCGTACTCCTGTGCACCACCAACTGCAGCTGGGAAGCATGTCTACTGCAAATATAGCATTCTCTACAGCAACTGCAGTATGTCTGGCCATGCTGCCGTAGTCAGTGCAGTGCAATCAGGACGTGCCAGTACAAAAGACGCTCTCGGCGAGCAGTTGAATGTGTCCGTGGTGCAGGTAGTCGCCACTCCGTACAGAACCTCTTTCGACCACCTGCGCGCAGCGGACGAGGCGCAGTTCAAGTTCGACAGCGCGATGAACGCCATTGGCAGGTATGCTGAAGACGTTCCTGTGTACGGAGTTGGCCACTCCCTGGGGGCGCTCATCCACCTGCTGATCAGCTCGAGGTACGCCGTGGAGCGCGCGGGCAACGTGCTGATGTCGTTCAACAACAAGCCGGCCACGGAGGTGGGTTGCTCGGAATCGTGTAGTGGTGGCGCCGCCTGACCTTGTACAGTCAGAACTCGATAACTGAAGTGTAATCGTAATCGAAGTATCTTGTGTAATCGAATCGTGTAGCCAGATGTCGACACCAATTTGACAGTGCGTGGGAATGGTCAAATGCGCCGCGCATCAGCTGAAGCTATGGGACGTGGTCCATGCCTTTGCCGGTGTGACAGTCGAAGCGACTGTGCCACAGAGTCTGTGCACAGCAGCTCTGCACACAGACCATCATCGCCCATTGCGTGCAATGGCGGGGCTTTGCACCGATCTGGCATGTGATGTTCTGCGCCTATGTGTGCAATGAGGGACACCTCCGTTCGAGACACCACCCCGCGAACACTGTACTGTGAAAAATGGTTGTTGTCTAACTACTGGAAATCTATCTCTGTGACAGAACTGTAGTGCACCATTGTGGTGCGCTGTGCATTTGCTGTCGTGACGGAGTACCGTTTTGGCTGCAAGCGAAGATGCAACAACGAGTGCGCAGCTGCCATTGTAAATCCCCAATATCGAAGTGCTGTAGATAACATACAACAGCGAATGTGACAGACGACACACAAAAGCAGATAGCACACAGCGTCAAATGCACCGACAGCAAGTAGTGCTGGGCGCTGGACAATTGTGCACCACTGGAGCGCTTACTGGTTCAGTAGCCCCTGAAGCAATTGCCCATTGCGCCGACGCCCCATCGGCTTCCCTCCGCGCCCAGGTCATCCCTCTCCTCGCACAGCTGGGCCCCTCCTCCCGCCTGCTGGGCCCCATCACCAGCCAGCTGGCGTCGTCGCCCCTGCGGCCCACAGCGGAGATGGTGCAGGGCGCGGTGAAGGGCATCAGCCCCTCGCCGGTGCGCCAGTGCATCCCCCTGGTGGAGCAGCTGGCGCCCATGTGCATGGACGTGACCCAGGGGCGGCAGGAGTTCTCACCGTCGCCGGAGGAGACGCGGAACCGCATTCGGTCCTTCTACGGTGAGCCGCCGGATTGGGCGGCCGTTTGGGGCGGTGCGGTGGTAATGCCGTGCCTGGGCAGCTCAAAGAAGCGGCGCGTCTGTCCGTTACATTGCGACGCGGTGCCGTACAGTACAGCCCAGTGCAATGCAGTGCCGTACGGTGGAGCAGTGCTGAGGAGAGCGTGGCGCAACGCGGCACAGTGCAGTGCAGTGCAGCGCAGCACAGTACAATGCCGTACAGCACGAATCAATGCAGTATTGCAGAGCAAAGCACAACGTAGTACATGACAGTGTGGTGGAATAGCACGATGCGCTACTGTCCAGCGGAGTGCCACACAGCAAAATGGTGTGCCTCAACAACGCAGGCGGCACCGCCTTTCCCAGGTCTTGTCCAGGGCTGAGAAGTCGTGCCTCTGCAGGCGTCCGCCGCAACCTGCTAGTCCAATTCACGGACGACGACATGGACGAGAGCGACGAACTGGCTTCGATGATCCAGGCGTCGGGCATCGGGAGCACCCTGGACATGACGGTGCGCACGCTGCCAGGGAACCACGCCCGGCCCATGCAGCACGCCCTGGTGGACCTACCACCTGTGGTGGCTCGGGCTGCAAACCAGGCGTGCGAAGCTGGTGGCGATGTCATAGGTGCGCTGTCGCTGCTAGAGACTTGCCCAGAGTGCAACTAGACGTTTAAAAAAGTAAATAGATCACAGTAGAAATGGCAAAATGATAAATAAGCATGTAAATAATGAGTGATTAAAAGAAAACAAACAGATCAATAATTAAGTAAACGAATGGAGCAAGCGCGATTGCATGGATTGCATGCATTGCGCTGATTGCGTGGATGGGACGGATTGCGTGGATTGCACGGATTGCACATATTGCATCTGGTTGTGTGGAGCACCTGTTCTGAACAGTGATGTGTCTTTGTCCTGTGCTGGCGAATCCCGAAAAAGCCCACAGGCTCGAAATTCGAAGTGTGAGACTCATGTCGCGGGTGTTCCACGGCACATGTATTGTCCATGGTCGTTACTGTCCAAACAGCGGCGTGCGGTGTGCACGACTCTGGTGTTGATTGATTGGCTTCACCGCTGCCACTGTCGAGCTAGTTCGCCTTTTCGTATGGTGAATCATAGAACGACGGAGCACACATGATGGCTTTGCGTGATGAATTATGAAGCGGCGCACGAAAAGCCCCCATATGGCGATTGTTGTTCTCGTAACACGCCTGGCGCCCCCGTCCCTCGCACAAGTCACTGTCAGGGTGCAAGTAACGGGAAACGAAGACATTTCTGCAAAGCGAATCCCAGACACGCACGCAACGTCACATGAGCCAGAAGCGTTTCATCGGGCACAACCGACTGATGTCCACATTCTTCACACCTTCCTCGCGTTTTAAGTTTCTCACCAACATACGTATGAATATCGAAAATCGAAGAATTGAGCATCGAAGTATCGAAATATCGGGCCTCCTTAGAGGCACACCGCTGTTGGCGGACAGTGCCGGAATTTCAGCGGACTCCAAGGGACACATGCACTCCAATGGATGTTACTGTACAATATTTCACAATGGACAATGATGGACAAAACTGTACAATGGACAACACTGCATGCAATACAATAGTACAACAATACAACACAATAGCACTATATACAATACTACATACTTGTAGTGTTTACAATGCTACATTCTTGAAGTAGGTATACTATGCAGTGTACGTACTTAAAATACTTGAAGTAGTGCATGTGGTGTCCTTGTACACGCCATACTGCATACTTGAAGCAGCAATTTGTCGCTGGTGACGCACTGCTGCATGGGCCTCAGGCCGGCTGTCGAAGATGGCCGCGGACGCCGGCTCCGCCCAGGGCTCCGACCAGCTGGGCCGCTTGTCGAAGAGCGTCAGCGGCATGGCGACCGTGTTTGGCGGCGACGCCGGCGGGCCCGTCGCGAGCCGCATCGCGGCGCTGGCGGACGAGATGGCGGGCTGGATGGAGGCGGGCCTGCCGGCCAGGGCCAGGGCCCTCCCGGCGGGCCGGAGGCAGGGGCAATGAACCTAGGTTCCGGAAGGGGGCAGGGCGCGCAACTCGAGGTTGGAAAGTGCGCACGAAAAAGAGAGGGGGCTGGGAGATCGCAGAACGTGGCGAATTGAAAGGTGTAGAGGTAAGAATTGCCGGACCCGCCCTAGGCCAATGGGTTGAGTTCCTTGCAACGAGAAAGGGCTTGGTGGCCGGGCAAGCGCGAGGTCTGGGCTGCGGGGTGCCGGCGATGGTGACAGCGTTGACGGTGACGGGAGTGTGGGGCGCGGGCGGCGGCGCCGTCCTCGGCGGGATCTGATGGTTGGCGATGAAGCTGTGGAAAGCGGCACTGGGCGGGCGAGTGGCCCCGCTGCCCTGGAGCGATACACAAAAGCACATACGGAACGATACAATTGAACGATACGGTACGATTGAACGATGCGCGAAGTGCAGTTGGCCCTTTGGGGCCCAGCGGTAAAGACGGCTCAGGCTTCGCGTGCTCCGCTCCCTGTGGGCGCTCGTGAAGTCTGCTGAGAATTCATGTCCCCCTTTTGAGGAGAGACGGGAGCGGCCCTTTGAGAATGAGGTTGGTCCAGCTGGCGTTTTGTGAAACGTCGCTTCTGTCGTCTGGAAAATCGGGCCCTGCGCGGAGTCCACTGGCTGCGTGCAGTGGAACGATCTGGAACGTGCACCGTCACTTTGCTATGTGGCCTGCTGCAATGTGTTTGGCCTTCGTCATGGCTTCCTGATCTGCGCCGAGTCCACAGTCGTGTAGCTTCACAGGAGCTTCCTGCGACCCGCAGGTTGTGGTGGGGGGACAGGAAGCCATACCATCAATCCACCAAATTACATGGTTAAAAGAAGTGACACGAAAACGGTCGAGAATAACAGTACATGGCAAATATGCATACTATTCCCCATTTTGTTTTGGATGCCCACCTATTCCAACGCGTCCCATGTCCAGGATGCAATCCATTGTGCAGCAAGCACTGGTGGAACACAGCCCTCGCGGTTTCAGCGTGGCCGTTCGTGCCCGGGCCCTTGACTGGCTGCCCCTCTTCCACAGCCCTGACAGCCCGTTAGCGGCGCTGAAGAGCAACCGACCCGGTGGCCCAGACTTCATGGCCAGAGCGATCCTCACTGCATCGCTGTGGCAGGTGGAGGTCCGGTCGAGCAGCAGCAGTGCGTCACCGTCGGTTTCAGAGCCTGCGCTCGAAATCCCTTCGGCTAGTCATGTGCCTTCTTGCTGCGTGCACAGCGCATCGCCGGCCTCTGGTCAGCGCGCTTCAGCAAACGGTCGAAGTCGCAGAGTGTTCAAGACGCCTAAGTCTGTGGGACGTGGCGAATGGGGCCGACAAATAGCCATTTGCCAGGCCTTCAGAACCGCCTCCCCGGCGCGTTGGCCCCGGCTATAGCGCAGAGCCAGGACATTGCGCCTCGCCGCCATGCATGGTGCCACGAGGGTCTCCAACCGGAGACCGTTGCAACGGTGGACGGCACCCAATTAGTCGCTCTGTCTTTTCCGTGAAGGTCCTTTCTTGTTTCGGACACCCTGAACACTAAAACCAACCAAACACTGACCCACTGACCAGCGTTGGCATTGCCAGCGGAAGAAGAAGGATCTTCACGGAAAGGACAGAGGGGCTACTGTATTCTCACAGTCGACCCTTGAGCCCACCAATTGATCGCTGATGCTGTGCGCAGCTGCTTCCCGGATGACTCGTGTACTCGAGTCGGCGGGCTTGCAATGTGTGGCACGGGCGACGAGCGGGGAGCCGCGGCTGGCGGCGCCTTCCCCTGCCGTGCGCGGCGCCCTGTGCCGTACGAAAACCGGCTCCAAACCGGAACTTCGCAACGTCACAGGAGGCATTATCTACTCGTATTGCAGACCCGCCACGCAAAGGGGGAGCATCGCGAGGCATCCGCACACGAGGCCGCGGCTGGCGGGCGCTGCGCATGTCGTACTTCCGCCCCCATGTGGATGCGACCTGTGAGATTAAAGCTGCCGACTGACTGCTGGCGCTGGGTTATACCCTGCAAATCGTACGGAGCCAGGCCGGATCCACGTACGTTGGCCCACCTGCCTGCCCCCCATGGGGCGCTCTCTGCCGATTACGAGACAAAGGGAGCGGCCTTCGGCGGAGGCATCTGCTCACGCTGGTCGGTCTGTACTTGTCAAAGTCACCAACCTGTGGAAGGGCAGAGAAGGTGTGGGGCGCAGCGAGCGCCCGCCAGAAGTATAGGGCACTTGAGACGTTTGGGAGGGGAGGCTGGGGAGGCACGCCGCCGGGAACGGCCGGCTCGACGGTCTGCGCCAACGGTGAGCGCTGGGCGGAGATCTGCAAGCCGGCCATGTCGACCGAAATCGTGATCTGTTGTCGGGGGGCGGCCGTGCGTGCGCGTCGGCGATGAATTACGAGGCGCCGAGCGGCAGGGAGGCTGGGAGGGATGGGCGCCGTCGGCAGACCCCAAGGTCGGGAGCGCCACCATGAGCGCAGCGATCCTCGGTGATGGGATTTTGTGTTCGTGCGCAGGCGCGGCAGGGGAATCCAAGCCCAGTTCATAAGGCCGTTTCCCGCCGGCGGCACGAGGCCGCAAAGTCGCTCGAGAGCTGCAGCGGCGGCGCGCGCAAGCGTCCTGCAGCGAGTTGTTTGATCGGCGCCCTGCAAGTGGCTCCCGAGCCCTGTGCCTGGCGCTCTGTCTGCCGGTTGGCAATCCTGAGGAGCTGCAGGCAAGTCCTTTGCGAGGCCGCTACTGCCGTGGGCGAGTGGCGTGCCTGCTCCGACCGGATCCGGAGTCGTCTGCGTCAGCCGATCGCGCAAGGTAGGCTTTGGTCAGCGCTGCGCAGGGGTGGCGGAGATGGAGCCCGATTCGTCGGACTCCGCAGATGACCGCGACTTCGAGGCCTTTCTGGAGCAGATGGGAAAGCAGGGCGAGGGTGAGGGGCTTCAAGGTGCGCGTCCGCTCGCCCTGGGTCCGTTGTCGCCGCCCACGCCCTCAACGGCGCCACCCGCCAGTCCTGTTGGTCGGACAGAAATTACTCACCGGACCGCATTACGCGAAAGTAAGGCCGGAGCGGGCCGCGGGGCACCCAACCAGGAAGTTTATTTTGAGGGCTGGGAACCGATCCGTAAGGGCCTAGGGGAGGTGTGCGCGCAGGCGCTGCTTGCTCGTCCAAAAGGGCCCTCGGAGGGGACGCTGTGTGGCGTGAAGGAGGTTCTGAGCCGCTGCCTGTCGCGGACGGCGTTGTGCAGGTGGAGGACGGGAGGCATGGGACTGCGGACTGCCGCCCTTCGAGGAGTCCTCACCAGCAGGGTAAGTGTGCGTCTTGGGGCGCATGCCGTTGTGGGGGCGACGCGTGTCGGGCAGTTCGCTTTGGGTGGCTGGTTCTGCGGCGCCGCTCTGCGGCCGCCGCACTCCGCCGCTGATCAGGTCCTTGTCGCGAGGGCACGGAGGCAGCCGACTGGCTGCCAAGGAACCAGAACTCGTATTCCTGGCGTTGAAATGCCATTGACAGTCGAGCAGAGCATCGGCCACAATTCTCCGTTCTTCGCCGGACCGATTGCAGAGACGGGGAGACTGCAAAGAAAATGGCGACCCAGAATTTCACGACAAGCGCCGCCCCCAAGCGCCCCTCCAACCCCGAACGCCGGGCGCTGATCGGCTGCTTGTGCCGGACAGGTTGCGCGAGGACGTGCTCGATGGCGGCCGCCGCAGCGGCGCCAGGAGCGTGGTGGCCGGCGTCTCAGCCGAGGGCGGCGCCCCCGCAAGCCGGCCCGCTGACAAAGATGGCACTGCGGCGGGGCAGCAGAAGAGACCCACCAGGCGACGCACGGTCCATCAGCTGCACCTTAACAAGCTGTGTCAAAAGCGGTACAGGTGAGATCGGGCTCTCGGACAGGAGTCGCAAGCCCTGAACGACTATCGCGCAGCTGCCTCTGAGATCTTGTTGACTGGAGAGTGCGCTGAACTGTTGTGCGCTGCCGGAACCCCGTGTGAGTTTGATCCAGAGAGTTCGTGACAAAAGTCATCGATGGGGAAGAGGGAACTGATGTCGCGGTGTAGGAATGCTTAGAGTGTTGCTGAACGCCCTGAGGCTGGGAAGCAGCCAAAAAACCTGGCTTGCTGACAGGCCAAATGGTCACTCTGAGGACTGAACAAAGCAGAGTTGAGCTGGGGTCAGGTGGCTCCAAATCCTGCCCAGTGGACAAGCACAGTCAGGCACGAGCCTCGCAGCGAGTGTTGAGGGGCGTGTGCTGCGGGCATGCAGGGAGCGCCAGAAAAACCGGCGGGCGTACCTGGAGACCATGGTCGCCAGCCTGGAAGAGCGGACGGCGGTGTTCAACAGGGTGGATCGAGAGAACGAGCGTCTGAAGGAGGCGAACACCAGACTGGCCGTCCTGGTCAGTGAGCAGCAGGCCCTGCTGAACAGGAGACTCGGAAAAGGAGGCTCTGCTCCGAGCCAAGGGGGCTTGGGTGAGTGGCAAATTGCGCCCCAACAGGCTGGCTGCCCAGAGCCCTTCTGTGCGCAGCTGCATGCATCTTTGTTGTCAAAATGTGAGGAGATGCAGCCCATGCACACGTTGGGCGCCCTTTGTGGCGATTTGGAACCTTGGGAGTCGAGGTTCTCTGGTTGATTGTGTGGAGAGTGGTCAGCAGGGACAGTGTTGTTTATTCACACAGGACAAAGCTTCAAGGCACCTTCACGACACTTCACGAGAGGCTGCACGCCAGTGCTGTGCTGAAGAAGCGACCACCAGATGCATGCCAGTAGTACCAACTGAACCAAGTGCATGAAGTGAATGTGTCTGTCCTTAACCATTGTGGAAGTATGGCACACCAGTCAGCTTCAGGAGTCAGTGCTGAATTCACACCATCAGAGAGTGCCCAGTTCGCAGTGTTACGAGTTATGTCAGGTGTGCAAGGGGCACAGATGAGCACATGGGCAGCAACTTGGCTGCCTATGCGATGTACTGTACTGGCTTCAGTTTGAAGCCAAGCTTTTGTCCCACTTCCAGGCCACATTTATATGACTTCAACCTGCCTGCTTCCCTTGCAGGTAAGCCAGTGGCGGACAACAAACCGCTGCACACAGTTGTGGGCACCCTGCAGCCATCCGACGTCATGATGTCTTCCAGGCTGGCCATCTGTTCACCCCACCGCCAACAGCCGGGGAGCTTAAGCAGAGCAGAGGCCGAGCTGTCTGCAGGCCACAGCACTGAGACCCACAACAGACTGGGGACATCTATGCCCCCACCTTCACCACCCCTGTGGGCAGTGTCCCCATTTTCCCAGTGGACAGGCTGTCAGGATGCATTCCCGCAGCAACACCAGCGACCCCGTTGGAGCCAGGCATCAACATCAGCGTCCACGGCTGGGACTGCGGATGGTCCCCAGCCGTGCTCATCCCCTCTGTCTGTCGTGGACTGCCTGGAACGGCCACTGCAGGGCCAGCAGCCCCTGGCCTTCAGTCCCTCTGCTGGTGCCAGGAGGGGCACATGCCCAAGCCCCACTTGGAGCACTCCTGAGTTGGGACAGCAGGTGAAGGGGGGGATTGGTAATCCAGATGTTGGGAGTGCCCAGGGTACGTTCATGGACCACAATCTGGATCGTTTTCTGGGGCGCCCACTTCTGAATGATGTCCCTGGAGTTCCCAACCTGGACTTCAGGGCAGCATCTGCTGGCACCCCCCAGATGGCTCGCATGCTGGGAGCCAGCTCAGCTCCCCTTCCTACTGCCTTCTCAGACTCCATGCTGCTGAGGGAGCGGTCAGCAACATTGTTGGGGAACCGTGGTGGGGTGCCTGGTCTCACAAGCGTGAGCGATTTGATGACAGAGATGGGGATCCAGGTGCAGGCACTGCAGAGCGTCCTTGCCACCCATTCCATCTGCAGAGGGGGAGACCAGGTGCCTGCCTCGGTGGCAGCAACTCTGAGGAGCATGGTTTCAACCATAACAGAGTTGGAGGCCAGAATCGCAAGGATGCGGACGCCCAAGCCCTCGGACCTGGCGCACAGCGTGCCCTTGGATGCGAATGTGAGCCTGAGCAGGGAGGAGATGGGCCAGTTTGAGAGATGCCTGGCCATGTTGGGCCTCAGCGCTTCCCAGGAGAGTGCGCTCATTGAATTGAGGGCGGGACATATTGCGGCCCTGACGAAAATCTACGAAGAGAGGACGAGACTCAATGCCCAGGTGAGTGTGGCTGTCTTTGGTCAGACTGCCTGGAGTATCCAGTGGGCTTTGTTTCCTGTTTATGCTATTGTACCTTTAACAGGTCTGCAGCCTGAATTCTGACACCTTGAATGGGGTCAATAGTGTCCAACTACACCAAACAAAATAATAGAGAAGCAAGAGATTGGCTGTGCGATGGATTCAGTGGATTTGTTGCCTGTTGGCGTAGCCTTGTAGGTATGCAGGCATGACCGGGCGACTGAGGCATGCAAAGTGAAATGGGTGAGTTGAGTCCTGCTCTGCCAACTGTTTGGATACAGGGCAAGTCCTGCCCAACCCTTTGTGTGTTTGTGTGCTTGTCTTGTCAAGCTCATGATAATAGCTCCATTGTTATGGAAGGCAATGGGGGGCTGCAGTGCCAGTTTGTGTTCTGCATGAACACTGACCATCACAGGCTTTCTGATGGACAATCGAACAGCATAAAGATTTTGAATATTGACGAAGGACGGTGGCACCAAGTCCACCCACCCCACTGAGCTCACGTCCAAATGCCGAATCGTTCTGTGCAGAAGGTTGTAAGGTGATTGACGTTGTCATTGATTTCATACGACCAGAATCTGTTGCAGTTTATGGCAGCAACGAAGCTACGTTCACTAATCAAACCTTGTCACTGTCCTTGCAGGCAAAGGCTGCTCTTAGAAGTTCAGGAGCCAGCTCTGAGACCATGCGATCGGTTTGGGATCTAGTCAAGCACAACATCGGCCAGGAGCAACAGGCGGTGGTGGATGGGCTCTGTGCATTGCTGCTGCGGATTTTGGAACCTCCACAGGCAGCGCTGCTGCTTGTCGACGCACATCCCAGCAGTGTTGACATAATCAAGCTCACCACTGCTGTTGCTGGTCTTTGCAGTGACAGCACTGTTCCCACGAGCACCCAGGTTTAATCCAGCAGCAGCAGATGGTGGACTGTCTTGTCTTGGATTGCTTCAGTCAGCTGCATGTGCCTGCTTGCCATCAGCGTACAGGCTTGTGTAAGGTAAAATTTTTGGAACTCAGTTGCAGGATGCGCAATAATTTGCTGTTCTTCATGCTGGCAGCGCTGTGCCACGTGCATGCGACACCGTGCACCCATTTGCAGGTGTCCATCAGGTGGCCCTAGTTTCGAGCCTTTTTGGTCGGTGGCCAGACGTTTCTTGAAGTGTGAGCGGGGATTGGTGTGTTGGGAAGATTGCGGGATGTCGCAGAAGCATGGATAGCAGGGTTCAAGCGGGGTGGGGTGGAGTGGGGTGGGGTGGGGTGGGGTGGGGGGATGGGGGAGCTCGCAAGAATAAATCTCTCCGAAGTTTTGAACAACTACTTTATTTGGCACGGCCCTGCTCTCAAGGCTGGGCACCGCCAGCAGCTCTTGTAATTGTATGTGTGTTTGCATCGCCGGTTGTCGGTAGCACCGCCTTTTGAGCAGCAATTCACTGTTGGCATCCACGGCCATCTTTTACGTGCTGTGCACGTGACTGCACCTGGCACCAGGGTGTTGTGCTGGAGGGCTCTCTCTTGGCACCGACCCAGACTTCTTGGAATGTGGCAGCTGAGCTGTCCGTCCGGGCTGTGCTGCTTCCTGTTGTTGCCAAAGGCAGTGACCTCGTAGGCCGCCGCGCGATGGTGTCTACGCCAAGGTACAAATTTGGATGCCAACGTGATAGCCACGGGTCGCGTCTTTGTGTTCCTGGCGTCGCAGACCATGGCGCTGTGATTCACCATGTGGCCAAGCGTTCCTGATTGTTCTCTGTGATATGACGCCTTTGCAGCGTGTGCAAAAGGAACTGGCGATCCGCTTGAATCGATGCGCAAAGACAAAATTTTCTGCGTTGTCCGAGGAAGGCCTTTTCACCCTTTTGGCATCCGCTGAATGCGTTGCCTGGGCGCGATGGAAGAAAAGCCATAGTCCAGAGAATGGTGGTCTTCGGGCTGGCTTGAGGACCACTGACTGCGCTGCAATTTGACAGCAGGCACGTGCGACCGACCGACTGGTGGTTGAATGAGACGCGTGTCTTTGTTCAGGGTGACTGAGGGGACTTTGAGCCGTTGCAATCTTTTAAGCCCCTCAGGCGCTTGCTTTGGGCGCAATGTGCTCGAGTCCCTTGGTGTCGTGGTTTCCCAGCGCCAGCGACCACAGGCGACCAATTGGCACGATTGCCAATCACTGCCTCAGACCCCAAACCCGATGGCCGAAATAACCGCTTGCTCGACAGGTGCACCGCGTGGTCAGTGGTGGGCCTGTGTGTTGCCATCGGCGACCGTGGTTCGTCAATCGACAGCGTGGTTCGGTGTCCGCGCTGGCGTTGGCTGTGCACGGAATTGCCGGCAAACAGATGGGTGCAATGGTCCGACCACAAGGCAAGTGCCCGCGCTCATGTTCACAAAACCCCCTTGGGCAATGCTCATCAACACACCAATGCCTAATATCTATTATTGGTGTGTGTGTGGGGGATTGAATATGGTGGCAACGGCTATGGCTGCCGCCCCGTCTCCCCCCTCCCCTCTCTCCCCAAAAAAGGAGAACATACAAAACCGCCCTCTTCCCACTGCTGCAAAGTGCGCAATGCACTGGGGAATACCTGGATGGGGTCTCCGGGACGGCCCTTTGTTGGTCACGTGTCTGTCTGGGAGCAGTCCTTCGTTGGTCACATGTCTATCCGATGCCACAGATCGCAGCCCGCCAATCGCCGACTCAACTACTGTCGAGATGCGCGATGCTGAAACTAATTAGTGAGAGTGCGGCGAATAGGACACCTGCGTGCGAACAAAAACCTTGTTCGCCGTGGCCCTGCACAACTGGCTCCACGCCGAGCTGTCCCTGGAATTGGATCAGAGCCGCAGTACTGGGCGACAGTGATCTCCGACCGTCAATGCGCGAGTCCACCAACCGATCCGTAACGCCGTTTCAGGGAAGAAATGGTCAACTATGCACCATGAAGTACTGAGCTTTGTGACTTTCCAGCGGCAGCGTTCTGTCACCATGTGCACAATCTCGCCCCGCATGTCTCAATGCCGCAACTGCACGGAAAGAGTGACGCGTCCCTCTTTCCGCGTGCCCATGTGAAGGGTTGGTGCAAGTTGACACTGGACGCGGGCCCCCTGGCGCGTGGTGTGTCACTGCCCGTGAGGTGCGCGGCGGCTGGTGCCGTACCGAAGCCGGTACCGAACCCGAAGTTCGCTGTCCATGGTAGGCATTACCAACGACGGGAGGGACGCACTGGAGACAAGGGGGGGTGATGCATGTTGTACGTCACGCAAATGGGGCGGAATTGTGAGGCCCACTTCGTCGCGCCGTGCTCAGCGGCCTACTACGTCATACTTCGGCACCCCAGCCTTGTGACGTTGCGTGATTAGACCCCTCGAATGCGTGCGTGACTCGGGTGTGAGCTTCGTACGGAGCCCGGAGCTGCAGTGGCAGCGCAGGCGCGCACCTGCCCGCACCCCGCCCCCTCAGCGCTACGTCAGGCGGGGCGCGGGCGCAAATGTGTGTCGCAAAGCGTACGGCGCCCGAACCGTATGGGGTGCGCAGCTGCAAGCCGCTCACGGCATGTACTTTAGGGCCCGTGGGCCGCGGCTTGGTGAGCATCGCGAATGACAGGGCCCGTCATGCCGCACACACATCCTCAGGAGAGAAGGTGTGACCTCGGTTGAGCGGAGGCATGGGGTGATTGGTTGCGTCAACCTGTACATATCCAGGATGGCCCGCTCCGACGGCCGTGCGACGAGCAGCGTGCAGGCGTGGGTGCGGACGCGAGTACGGCGACCACCGGCGTGGGCACCCGAAGCGCTCGTGCGGGGGGGACGAGCAGGCAGTATCAGAGGAGCGGACGGGCGGGGAGATCGCGCAGGCGACGGCTCCGGGGTGAGTGCCGACTTGACCACTGACGACTCATCGCAGAGGCCGGCCACGTCCGAAGGAGGCCGGTCGCCCGCGAAGGGCCAGGCGAGGGGCAGGCGCGTAGGCAGGGGCGCCGTGGGCCGAACCCAACGTTCCGAATCCCCGCTGCGATTGCCTTGATCGTCAGTAATGTGGATCCTGCCCACGTTTGTGCAGGATCGGGGGGAATCTCCAAGTGCAGCGATCAGAGCGCGCCTGCGGTCGGCGGCCGGAGTGTCGAGAACAGATCCACGGCGAGAGCGGAGGCCAGCCCGGGCGTCGCTCGCCGTCGCGATCGCATTGGCGCCGGGCACGTCATCAGCGTCCGTGCAGCTGCGGGCCGCGTGAACGCGGAGATGGCCAGCGGTCCGGAACTGGGGCCGGATTCGTCGGGATCCGCCGACGACCGCGACTTCGAGGCCTTCCTGGAGCAGATCGCCAAGCAGGGGGTGGGCTTGGCGCTCCAAGGTGAGCCCCCACTCGCCGGATAACCGCAACCGCAGGGAGCCCCCCGCTAGCGCGGCGTGCCCCTTCCTTCCACGACGTTGGGAGCTCCTGACTGAGCGGTACAGCATTCGCAGAGGAGTGAGGGGCGTGTGAGGCCGCCCGGTAGCTTCGCCAAAGGGGGGGGCCAGCATTCGAGGGCAGGGGAACGGCAGCGCGAGGGGTAGAAAGGGGGGGCGGAGGGCGCTGCTGGCTCGTCGCGAGGAAGCCGTCCCAGTGGCTTGTCGCGCGTTGCGACGTTGCGGGCTGGAGGCGCAGAGGCGTTGATTTCCGTGGCTGGCCTTGCGCAGGTACCGGAGTGGAGGAGTGGGACCGCGGACTGCTGCAATTCGAGGACCCCCGCGGGTAGGGATCCGTCCGGCGGCGTTTCAGCGGCGCGAGCGAGCCAGCAAACCGTCTGGGGGCACGACGCCAGCCCTGGAGCGTTGGGACATGCGAGCCCTTCGCCGTTGACTTGATCGTCGGCTGCAGTCGTGCGGCCCCAACCGCGCTGTTGGGTGCCGAGGGGAGATGACAACAGCGAGCGCTACGCGCCGGAATTGTCTGTCAGGAACCCCGAACGCACCCTCGAACATCCGTCGCTCGAGTGGCGCTGACAGCTGATGACTGACTGATTGTCGTGGGCGGACAGGAGTGGTGGGGATGCGCTGGAGAGGGGCCGCTGCGCCAGCACTGGGAACCTTCCGGACAGGGCCCCGAGCGACAGCGGCGGCGTGCCCCCGTCCCGATCGGCCGTCAGCGACGGTACGCTGGCGGTGCAGCAGAAGAAGTCCACGCGACGGCGCACACCGCACCAGTTGCACCTCAACAAGTGTGAAGCGATACAGGTGAGACCGGGGGCACGGACTGGCGGCGCGGTTGCGATTGGTTGTCGCGCGGCGCACCCACCGCCAAAGTACACCGTACCTTTTGTTGGATGGAGAGCGCGCTGAACATATCTGATGAGCTGATGGAACCCGGCGCTGACGCCGTGATCTCCTTCGCGGCTGATGGCGCAGCAGTGGAGAAGGGAGGAACGGAGGACGCTGGATGGTCATGCCTGAGGACTTGCTGAAAGAACGGAGGCTTGCCAACAACCGGGGAAAGCGTGGCTGCTGAGGAGAAGCTTGCTAGCTTTGGGATGAACCACGCGCAGTCCAACCGCGGTTGAGCGCTCGGAAACCAGAGCAATCCAGTAGCATCGGGTGCGGGCCTCGGTGCGAGAGTTGAAGGGCGTGTGCTGTGCGGCTGCAGGGAGCGGCAGAGGAACCGTCGGGCGTTCCTGGAGTCCATCGCCGCGAATTTGGAGGGGGGCAGTTCGCTGTTTGACAAACTGGGTCGGGAGAATGAACTCCTGAGGCAAGAGAACGCCAGGCTATCTGCCCTGGTCTGCCAGCAGGAGTCCCTCCTGCAAGCGAGGCAGGGAGAAGGAGGCTCTGCAGTGCCCCAAGGGCCCTTCGGTAAGTGCAAATGCTTTGATTTCTAAAAGTTACACACAAGCGCAATGACAAGCCCATGGCCCTAGGTCAAGTTGAGTGCCAGCTGGTGTTCAGATTGTCCAAATCTGGTCGCCATGTGCGCCGAACTCGAAGGTTGCCCTTGGGTGAGGGGCAACTCACACCATGCTGGCCGCCCGGAGCCCTTCGTGCACTTGCGTTGACTGTATTGTATCAACTGAACGAGGCACTGCCCTTGCACACAAGAGGCAACGTCTGGCGCTCCCCTGTGCCTATGGGAACTTGCTGCTCTTCACGCAATGGAAACGTTGGGAAGTCCACTTGCTTGGCCCCGGGTGGGAATACTGACCTCCCTATTCATGCAAAATATTGTGCAAGGGGCACGCCACCTGAAAGGCAGCACACCTGTGCAGTGTGGAAGGACACCCCAGGTGCACTGATATCAACACGGCATACCATGTAGCATGCTGGCCCTTTAGTTTGAACCCGGCCTTCCTGCCCACCTCTGATTTGCATCCGATTTCACAGTCACATTCCCCTTTTGTTGCAGGGAATCCAGCTGCAGACCCCGGGCTCCTGGACCAACACACGGGGATCCTCCAGGCATCTGGCATGCCTTCCCAGCTGGCAAGCTCCAGCAGAGCAGAGCCTGGGCTGTCTGCCAGCCACAGCGCTGGGACTCACAGCAGCATGGACACGCCTATGCTCCATCCATCACCAGTCCCATGGGCAGTGTCCTCACTTTCCCAGCAGGCAGGCGGCCCAGATGCACTGTCGTCGCAGCATCAACACCAGCAACCACATTGGAGCCAGCCACCACCAACGTCGACAGCCACGCCTGGGACCACTGCAGGCCCCCAGCCTCTGTCAACCCCCGAGTCTAGTTTGGACCCCCAAGGATGGCCACTGCACGGGCACCAGCATGCTGCCCTGAGTGGCTCCTGGAGCGCAGGGACGGCCACATGTGCAAGCCCCAGTTGGAGCATCCCTGAGCTGGGACAGCAAGTAGAGGAGGGGTTTGGCAACCCAGATGTCGGGAGTTCACAGGGAACGCTGATGGACACCATTCAAGATCGTTTTCTGGGTGAGCTCCTTCTGAAGGACGGCCCTGATGGGCCCAACCAGCAGTTGATGACGACATCGGCGAGCACTATGCCAGAGGCAAGCTCAGTTCCTCTGTCTTCTGCAATCTCAGACTCCAGGGAGAGGTCGGTGTCGTCCTCGGACACCTCTGGCGGGGGCCCTGGCCTGAAGACCGTTAGAGGGATGATGGCAGAGATCGGGAACCAGGTGCGGGCAATGCAAGGCGTCCTGGTAGCCCATTCCATCCGCCGGGGCAGAGACCAGCTGCCCGCCTCTGTAGCGCCTGTGCTGAGCAGCATGGTTTCGTCTATAACGGAGTTGGAGGTCAGAATCGCAAGGATGCGGACGCCCAAGCCCTCGGACCTGGCGAACAGCGTCCCCAAGGATGTGCACCAAAACCTGAGCAATGAGGAGACGGGCAAGTACAAGGAGCGCCTGGCAATGTTGGGCCTCAGCGCCTCACAGGAGAGTGCGCTCGTCGACCTGAGGGTGGGACACATTGCAGTCCTGACAAGAATCTTCGAGGAGAGGACGGAACTCAACGCCAAGGTGAGTGTGGCCATGTGACCGGTGCGGCTGCACTTGACCGGAGCAACTGGAGTATCAACCGCATAAAGCGTTTTTGCTTCCAAACTGCGCTATTGCGCCTTCAATTGGTGGACAACCTGAATGCTGACTACTTGATTGAGGTCAATAGCATCCGCCTAAACCAAACCCAGAACAGAGGAAGAAAGACGGGGTGGGCTGTACGATGGTTGAGGTGCACCTGCTGCACGTGGGCAATGCGGACATACCCATGCCATGCATCTATGGTCTTGTAGGTATGACATTGCGAATTCACGCGTGCGAAAGGCAGTGGATAAGTGGAATTGAGATCGACCCCTACTCAAAATGGCGAACCCTGCCCAGTCAAATGTATGAACATGCCCTCTCAAGTCAATAGCAATATTCCATCGCAAGCGTGAGGGACTGGGTGTGTGTACTGCCGACATTTGTTCTGCACTATACCCATCATGGTACGCTGGATGTGTTCATTCGGCTATAGCCATATCGACTGCTGACTGTGGATAGCGGCACCACATCACCTGCTGGGCGGCAGCGTCTCGTACTGTTCAGAAACCTGTATGCAAAGTGAATCGCCCTGCCGCCAGATGCAAAATCGTATTCCATTTCCCACAGACTGCAATTGTGCTGAAAGTGTGCCAAGACGGGCCAAGGTCGTATATTTGAAGTATGACGTGACGCAGTGGGGCTTAATGGCGATAATTTTACTGTGATTTGTTGCCATTTGACACTGATAGCGAGGTAGCCTTGTTGTTCCAGAGGGCCGAAACCTGATTTACTTAATGGTTGGCAGGCAACCGAGGACACTAATCGAACCCTGTTCTGGCGTTGCAGGCGAAGGCCGCTGTGAGAGATTCGGGGGCCGGCTCGGAGAACATGCGATCAGTTTGGGATCTGCTCAAGCACAACATCGCCCAGGAGCAACAGGCGGTGATAGATGGGCTCTATGCGCTGCTGCTAAGGATTCTGGAGCCTCCACAGGCAGCGCTGCTGCTCGTCGACACGCATCCGGGCGATCTTGATGTAATCAAGCTGACCACCGCCGTTGCTGGCCTTCGTAGCGACAGCGCTGGGCCCGTCAGCAGCCAGTTCTAGCGCGCCAGCTACAGATGGCAGATTATCTTGTCTTGGGTTGCCACAGTCAGCTGCAGGATAGTGCCGGTGATTGGGGCATGGCCTTGTGAGGGGTATTATTTGGTCTGTTTCAGGAACTAGTAAGGTTGCTGTCCTTGACCAGCTGCGTGGCGCTCACGCGCACCATTTAAACATCCATGAACCATAAAACGTCCGTGTTTGGGGCCTTTCCTAGTCAGTGGTAGAATGCGAGCGGGGAATGGAGGACAGATTAGGCAAGAAAGGCGGCAGGGGAGATTTTGGTCATCTGAAGGATTTAGTGGGATCGCTCTTGGCCTTCTAATAAGATTGCTCTTGGCCCTGCCAGCAGCTAGTTATAGGCCGCCAGCAACAGATGGGAGATCCTGTTTTCTTGGATTGCTACAATCAGGTGCAGGATAGTGCCTGGGACTGGGGATGGCCTTGTGCGGGGAGTTATTATGTCATTTTTGGGATCCAGTAAGGTTGCTGTTCTCGACCAGCTGCTTCGCGCTCACGCGCACCATTCGAACATCCATGAACCATAAAACGTCCGTGTTTTGCGCTTTTCCTAGTCGGTGGTAGAATGCGAGCGGGGAATGGAGGACAGATTATGCAGGAATGGCGGCAGGGAGATTTTAGGTCAGCTGCAGAATCCAGTGAGGTTGCTGTTCCTGACCAACTGTGTGGCGCTCACGCGCAACATTTGCAGGGGCCCATCAACCATCCGTTGTTCAGACTTTCCCAAGTACATTGCAGTACACGAGCGGGGAATGGCGGATAGATTGCGCTGGAAGATTTGCAGGATGTTGCAGAGGCATGGAGTACTGGGTTGGCATTTGGCTAAACCGGGTTTGACGGGCTCGGGTGGAATACGATGTGGTGCATGCAAGAATAAATTTTTCAAAACGGGTGGAGTGATTATTGGGATAGTGTACCTGGTAAACCTTTCAAGACCAAGATGTTTGGCTTTTAAGCGACTACATTATTTCGGCGCGTTCCTTTTCTCTGCCTCAAGGGTGGCAACTGCAGAACGTGTTTGTATTTAAATGCAGCTTCAAGAGCAATGTGTTTGATTTTTAAGCAACTACATCATTGCCACGTATTCATTCTCCGTGTTGTGGGTGGACATTGCACGCCGTGTTTGTAGCAGAATGCAAGTTAAGGATCGTTTGCTGTTGTCGGCACGGCCTTGTGGGTAGCGGTTCGCTTATGCCAATCCTCGGCCCCCCCTTGTATTCTGTGCACGTGCGCCCGGCACTCTCCCCTTTGACACCGATCAGGACTTCTGCAATTGCGGAGGCGACGTTGCTCTGTCGTTGGTCTCTATCGGGCTCGGCAGTTTGCTGTTTCACGCTCGCATTGTCAAGGCGGGTGCAGCGCCACGGAAGGACTTTCAATGCTGCCTAATTCGACGTGCGCATCAGAACCTTTTTTTAGTTCCAAATTTATTACACTACCACATGAACAGAGGAGCTCCCGCATCAGAATCTTGAACATGGGCGTTGCCGTACCGTGACTCCCATGCTCAAAATCAAGGCGCTGCACCGGTGTAACATCTCAAGGCGGCAAAATCTATTGCCTTGTGACTGTTTATGTGTCTTTATATCTGCGATATCTCTTTGTGATGTGGCTTCTGGATAGCAGTGTTAACGCGGGCCCGCCATCCTCTCGGATGGGATTGATCTCCCGCAGCTGGTGGCTGGTAGCGTATTGAGGTCGTTCTTTTCCTCGGAGAACGTACCGCGTGCCCGGGTTGCACATTGCAGGTTCTCCAGGTGGCGCGGCAGGGAGCCAGTATCGGCAGTCGTGGGCGCGCAGATTGCGTATGGCCGCGGCCGTGGGAGGCGGCAATAAACCAGAATAACTCACTGCTTTCGAAGCGACATGCATCGCCAGGCACATGGTTGCACGCCCGACAACATGCCCGGATCTCAGACACTAAAAAGGTGTAAAGGGACTTTGCAGCGCGATGACGCAATGTGCTGAACAGAAAAGGTGTCTTTCGCCTCACTCAGAAATAGTTGCTGGTCGAAACATTCTGAAGGCCACTGCAATCCGGCGAATCAATTATTGGTTCGCCGTATTAGATTGACCTTCAAAATATTTTGCGAAAATTCGTACGAGAAGCGCATACTCAATATTCGCCACAGTATGCCCATTGTTTGATATTGAGCATGTAATATGCGGGAATTTCTTGGCCTGCAAATCAGGGTGGTTCGTGGTCCTTCCTGGCTCATGTCGGATTTCAAGAATTGCCTAATCTCCCTTCTCCCTTGGTGCCAATTTGATGTCAAGAGTGGAAATTCGCCCTAACGCCACCCCTGGGTGCCAAGGCAGCCTGGGTCACTCAAATCCGCGATTTCGATCAGTGAAATCATCATGGATTCAAGCCCCAGAAACAATTACTTGTGTGGAGGGTGGGGTGGGGGTGCGGGGTGCGGAAAGAACAGACGTAGGCGCTCGCCACTGAAACGTACATGCTGAAGTCCGTTGTTCCAAACCTGAACGTCTGCAAGAGAACGCTCAAAGCCAACGCCTACGTCTGGCGACAAGCCAACAAACGCAAATGTGCGCCACGCTTGCATTCCTGGTCGGTGTGCTGGCGTCAAGCGAGATGCCTCAACTTCAAGCTCCAAACCTACAAGGCCCTGTGCTCACAATTTCTGAACCGCAAAATTCACGGAGGTGCGCAGTCAAGTTATCTGACCGCTCACCATCACAATTACTTGAATGTTGCAGCGAGGATGCACCGATTTCTTCTGTCGGAAGTCGCCGCCCTCTGCCGACAGAGCTCGCCGTTCCCTGCCGGTGTTCGTGGACGTTTCACCGTCGGAATTCATTGGCGCCCGCTGTGGGAATTCACCCCAACTCACGTTCAAACGTAAACGTCAAGCCGATTACCATGACGTTGGGCCCGGAACGTAACGCCTACGTAAAATTGGTGTCCGCCAGCGTCTGCGCGCCGTCCGTAAGGTCCCAGGTTCTCTGGCGTCCGGCGGACTGTCCTGCAGCACGCCGTCGGCCGTTTCTCCGACACGAGCACGCTTACCAGTACTTGGACCCCTTTACAGCGCCACTGGGAGCTACCCCTCAGGTCGCAGCTCCCCGGCTTCACATCACCCCTCTCACTTCATCCTGACGCACGGAACGGGGCTACGTACGAAGTAACGCTCGCGGTGTGGCCATAACGTGTCGGCGCCGTAACCCGTAGCAACGCAGGCCCCCACCTCCGTTTGTCGCCCCGGACGGCCATGGTCGCATGGGGGGCCGAACCAATACATCTCCAACAGCTAACCTACAACGGCAGCCACCAATTCATTCACAATGCAGGCACACACTTTGGGGCTGCGACAGGCCTGGCGGCGAGCGCGCGGGGACTCAGCGCACTGCGCCTGGCTCCACAAACAGAGGAGCGGCGGGCCCGAGGGGCCCCGACAGTGCCGAGCTTCGCCGCGGTCGGCGATGAAGGGAAGCGGCGGTCGGGGATCAGACACCGGCAAAGGTGGGCGTGACTATCTTCTGTCGTATTCGATGTCAAGTGTGACCCCGTCCGATCACGAATGGGCGGCCGGCGAGGCGGCCCGTCTACGCCCGAAGTCTCCGCGTGGGACGCGGGATGGCGGACGGTGTCGGCGGCGGAGAATGTGGGCCTGGGGGGAAAAGCGGTGGCGCGATTTGCGGTTTGCTGCCGTCGGGAAGGAAGGGGCGCATTGGAGGGGTGCGGGGGCATCGATTGACCCCCCGCCGCTGGTCTCCGAGATCGAGCTGTCGGCGAATCGCGCGAAAGGGGTGGCGCCGTCGGAAGCGCGCGTGTGCCGGCTTGCGGTTTGTTTTGTCTCTCTGATCTGGCGTGCGACGACAAGGCCGGCGGACGCGGTGGTTGAACATCTGCCGGCACCCTTTCCGGCGCCGCGCGGGGTCCGTTGCGGGCGGGAGCCGTCGCTCGAGCGGGGCCCCCCGCTCGGGGGTGTGGTGGGAGGGGGGGTGTAATTCAGCGGGATCTGGGCCTGGAAGGGGCACGTGGGCGGGGGAGCGGCCACCGTTTGCCCCGCTGGCTCGAGTCAGTCTCCCACGCCGTACAATGGCGTGCCAAACTTCCGAGGGTTCTGCCAAGAGTTGACAGGATGTCTGGTGCATTCTGGGAGCCGGCAGGAAGCTGTCTGTTTAACCCCCGCAGCTGATGAACTGGCCGTTAGATGCTTGGGACATGGGTCCGGAGGGGCACGTGCTCTGCATTGGCCCTCGCTGCTTGGGACTTACGGGAGTGGCGTTGCGGACGGCGTCCAATTCTGCACCTTGCTGAAACCTCAAATCCACTTGCCAATAGAGCCCTCCAACAGCTCATGTGCAGTGAACGCCAACGCCAAACTAGCAGAGAGCTTCACAGAATCAGCGAAACCCGTGGCAGTAAAACAGATAACAACGGCAGCGACAACAATGCTACCGGGTAATAATGCTAATACGGATGTTACTAATCCATAATGGAATAGATGGTGGTAATGTTACGAATAATGCTTGCGCTAATCCTTTGGCATGTGGCCCGTGGCCCTTGCGGTTGGTCGGCACACAAGCGCTCATTTGTCGTTGGCTGTCATTTTGCTGGTGGGCGTCTCGCCACCAGGGGGGGGGTAATTCCCGAACAGTACGCTCCCCACGGCACGTTTTGTGTCGGCAGGATGCCGACTGCCTTGCAGTAGCGCTGTTGTGAACAGCGGTGAGTTCGGCAGCTCAGGCCTTTCTCCTCAGATGAGTGCATGCGCGTCTCCGGTTTGGCATTTGGGTGTCGCGAAGGCACACCGCATTCGTGGGGCCCTGCCGCCTGGCCTTGATCGAGACTGGCCGTGCGTTGTGGAGGGGCGTTCTGAGCACGATTGTGGAATTTTGGTCAGGTGGTGCAGACGAAGGTTCGCTGCTTGCTTTCGAAGGGACCTCTGGGTGAGTCCAAGACGTTCAGAACCGTTGGGTCGGGGATGCCAGCTCTGGGAAACGCACCCCGGCATACTCAGCTCCGGCGTACCCGCTCTTGGAATACCCTTTTTAGTTCTGCTGATGGAATTCATTAGCTCTGTGGTGGTCATCGTATTCTGAATGCCGAACCCGATTTAAGTTGCCTGTTCCCAGCTAAGCGTTGTCAGCGTCAATGCAATGCCCACCTGCCTTCGCAAGCCAGCTGTTTTCCAATTTGTGACGAGTGATGTAGAAGACTTGCGCCTCGCTCGCAACAAAGATCGATCAATCGCTTTCTAAGCAGAAGAGAAAGGGGCGTCAAGGCTCCCTGTAATCCTGTGTGACGAACGAAGGAATCTATTGCAGCAACGCAAAGGGCGACGCACTTGCCATGGCTTGTGCGTCTCCGGAGTTAGGATCATGGCGGCACTGCTTTTCCTAGCTGTCCGCAAGGACCTCACAATGCATGGTACAAAACCACCTCGTGCCAGATGAATCACTCCGAAGAAGAATGCAACAGAGAATTAATCAAGTTTGCTGGCCGAATCCTCAGTTGTTCGTGGCCAGGATCTATAGCCATATCTTTGCAGGTGGCATGAGCATAGTTGTGGACCTCTGCAAGCCATCTTTGCAATTGTTTTTGTCCCAGACTATCGTCACATGGGGAGACATATGTTACCAAGGCACTGTTTTTTTGACTGCTTCCTTTCCAATACGGCCAGTGTTCAGCCCTTGAAGTCCAGCAACAGTCCCCCTGCTGGGAACAGAACGAGGTTACGTTGTCCCCTTGGCTTCATCGCCTTCTCTGCACATTTATATTAAGACCAAACCCTGTTGCAACGGGTCCATTTTTGTTTGATGGAAACAAATGCTGGCAGTGATGAACTTCATGTTGTGAACCAGCATTACCAGCAAAGTTTTTGTGAGCCTGTATTAGCATGTAGATGTTTGGATGAAACTGCCATCTGTTTAGTAGTCATGCTGATGGTTAGAAGCACACTGCGTGCCAGCGATCCTGCAGTTTTGGCAGAAAGACAGCAGCACCAGTTGGATGTCCTGATCCTGGATGCTGGCACCCAGGTTGGCACATGTGAGCAGCCAGGGGCAATGCCACTCCCAAGGCACCAGTGCCAATGACACAATTGTTGAAACCACCAATGGGCGAAGCCACTCCACCAGCTTGTGTAAAGAGACAGTCCTTGGGGTGAGGAAGTCAGAGCGAAGGCCACGGGTGCTGGCCCGGAGTGGTCGCTCTGAGGGAAATGGCGGATCGGAGGGCAAGAAGGTGAAGAAAGTCAGGACTCGCACGCCTCACCAGCTGCACCTCAGTAAACTTTGTCAGCGGCGCTACAGGTGAGCCCCTCCTGGGTGTGCTTGATATTTACCCTTCAGGCTCTTTGCCAAAACTGCAGGCCCTTGAAGTAATTTGATTTTTGGCAGCACCAGCTGTTGAAGAGCTTATGAAGCTCACAGAACAAAAGGGGAAGAGACTGCACTGCCAACGAAAGGACTACAGTGCACATTGGAAGCCCGCTGAATGCGGATTTGTTTGCCACACATGGCTCTCTGTGTTGTTTGGCAGTCCTGTTGTGCTCAAAAATATCTGTATCATAATTAAGTGTATGGAAGGGACAGAACAGCCCCACAGCATATTGGTGCTAGGATTGGCATCACTTTGGCATTTTATGGCACCTGATGCTGTAATCTTTCTGCTGAAATTCTGATCTTTTAAGTAGCTGATGTGTAAGGCTGAAACCCAGAAGCAAACTACTATTTTGCTTACTTGGCATTAGTCTCCAAGCCCCTCTCTTGGATTGAAACCAGATCAGTATCTGTAATTTTTTGATGTTAGTGACCTCTGCTTCGTTTGCTTTGGGTCCTATATGCGGGTGCTGATGCTGAGAAAGTCCAATGGAAGAGATCAGTGTTTCAGGGCTACAGTGGTAATGCGCAGTTGAACGAACTTTGATGAACAGCAGCACTGAATGCCGACTTGAGACTCTCATGGTGTGCCGTTGCCAGCAAATGTCTTGCCGTTAGTCATGTTCGATTGTTGAATGCAGGGAGAGACAGAAGCAGAAGCTGGCTCGTGTGCAGGCAGCAGTCCCAGTTCTGCAAGAGCGCTGTTCACGGTTTGAAGAGGCTCGTCAACAGAATGCCATTCTGAAGGCAGCACAGTCCAGGCTTGAGGCGATCGTTCAGAACCAGCACGCATTCATTTTGGCACTGCAGGGAGGTTCTGGTCAACCTGGGATCCAAGGTGTGGCAGCCAACCACCAGGAACCTTGTGGCAAGAAAGATTTTCACAGTTTTCACACTCGAAAGGGGTTCGCCCATCAAGATATGTTTCATTTCCTGAAATGAAAACTCTCTGCAACAGGAAATTTACCTCCCTGGGGAACATGTCTGGACAAAAATAACGGATTTGTGTGGAGCTGTAGACATTGTGGGGCACACCACTGACAACGACCGGTCCCTTGCTGTTGTCATTATTGTATATTGTCAGTATCACATCTCGCACCCCTGCCAAGCGATCAAGAAAGCATGCAACCCATGCAACCTTATGGCATTCAGAGTTGCAGCTGTTTCTTCTGGACGGAAGGGCGCAGGCCCCTTGGAGGGGGGACTCTGTATCTAATGATAGTACAAAAGGGCAGCCTCTCTCTTCGTTCGCTCATGGAGGCACCATAGACCTTACTCTGGTTACAGTTGCTCCAGTGCTAGCTGCAGGTGCACGGTTACAGTGCACCCATTTGCCCACAGGACCGCGGGCATGATTTGTCCATGTTGGTGTTTTCGTCCAAAGCGAAGGTTACATCAGAGGTTTGGGCACACAAGCCCTAGGAAAGAAAGAGGGGGGAGGGGGGAGGGGTGTAGAATACTTTAAATTCTTTTGAATTTCACGGTAAGGGAAAGCCGTTTGAAGCTGATGGCAGGCAATGTGCCGTCCAGAGAATGAAGAGACACTGCTTAATCTGTGCAAGGCTATTTGGCAGACATGTATGGTATCATCTGTGCAAGTCCCTCTATCCCCAGGATACTGCCTCGCTGACTGACGAAGTCACTGCACTTGCATGCCAGCAGGTCAGCAAGCATCCGAAGCCAACGAAGTGTCTTCCCATGGTCAGACATATATTTTTGACAGCAGCTCGCAGGATGCCGGCAACCCAAACACAAGCATGGGCCCTGCATCAGATCTTTTGCCCTTCCCCTTGGAAGGCACACCCATCTGTGACAACAGCTTGCTGCTGTCAAACCCACCGGGTCCCCAGCCCTCCGCCTCCGGCGCAGACCTTGAACCCAGCCTCTTGCACAGGACTGCACAGGCCACACTGCCACGGCGCACCCCACCCCCCTGGGCGCTGTCCCTATGGGGCCAGCCTCAGGGTAGCAGCCATCCATTCGAGCACCACGCTAATGCCTGGGGCTCGGCTCCCAATGCCTATGACTCCTTGTTGAGCCCCTCATTGCTGGGCTCCCCTCAGCATCAAGGGCCGCCCTGCGAGCTGCCGGTGGATTCCTGCTCCCTGCCAAAGCTGTCCCCCACGATGAGCGATCCCGGACCCTCTTCCACTAACCCCTATGCCCTACCCGACTGGGATCTGGGCGAGCTCGAGCAGCCGATGGGCAGCAGCGAAGACTGTGTGTACGGCACACAGGAAAATTTGTCAAGCAGAGGGCTCCCAGAGCCCAGCTCTCATGGTCATGATATGGTGCATGATACAGACCAGGATTTTCTGTTGTCTTCTTTGCTAAAAGGCCCCCTGGTCGTGCCAGAGCGACTGCTCTGTGAAGCAACCCGTCCTGGGCACAGCGCTGGGGAGAGCAGTGGCCATGTGGGAACAGCCACACCGATGGGGCAGCCGTTGAAGCGTGGCGCTTCGATGCCGTCCGCTTGTGGGCCAACCGAGGCAAGTGGGGAGGTGGGCAGCCTGGGGAGTTTGACGGAGAGGCTGGAGGAACAGGTCAGGGCGATCCATGGTGTATTGGCAGCAAACGCCATCGTGGATGGCAGCAGCAGGGCTTCCAGGGAGGTTGAGCGGGAGCTGTGTGACATGGTGGATTGCGCCATCCAGGTGGCCGTCAGCATCGCAAGGCTCAGGGCGCCAAAGGCCTGTGCGTCAGATGGCACCTTCAGGCCGCCAGCCCTGGGGGACCTGGGGGAAGTTCTCGTGGGCAAGATCCGGGAGTGTGCTGCGATGTTGCATCTCACGGGCTCCCAGAAGCAGGACATTGGGGAACTGAAATGCAGGCACGTTGCACGGTTGCAGCAGCTGTACGAGGAAAGGTCGATGCTAAACCAGCAGGTGTGTGTGATCAATCGCGTACAGCTTAGCATGGTATGCTGATACATTGTATTGGTCATATTGTGGTGCACTGTTGTTGCGGTGATAAAGGAATGTTCCTTCCAAATGGATATAGTATGCGCTTGTGATGATGTGGAGGACTGTATTCAGCTGTTTGCTGTTTTGGATTTCCGAGGTTTTTAGTTTCTTTTGAAGCAAGTGGACGTGCACATTGTTGTGTGCCACCTTCCTGTTGACGAAACATCGATTGCTTCATTCCGGACAGATGGCATCAGTGAATTATTTGACATTTTTCTCAATTGATTATGTGCTTGTTCCAGATCAATTCGCATGTGTGATATGTGCAATGCATGGCAGTACTTGGTGCAGTTTTTTTCATGCAAGTAGTTGTAGGGCAATTGATTCCTGTTGGTTAACCTGAAAATTCAGACTGACTTACATTCCCAGACCTCCAAGAAGCAATGGCTGGATGCCTGTACATCTGCACCTTTGATCGCTTTCAAGGTGCAAGTGCCGTGTTTTTGGTGGTTTTCAAATATGCGCAGGACATAGATTGCAAAGCAGCATGGTATTCATATGTTGTCAGCCTTGAGCAAGGTCGGCAAAGTTTGCACATCGTAGCATTGATCGTGGTATTGCCTGTGTCCCAACAGAAACTAGGATCCCTACAACGCATACAGGCAGTTGGGTTGAGCACTGGTCATTTATATCCATGTGAACGCATTTCATGCCAGATGTGGACACGAGGGTGCAATCTTCATAGTTGAAACAAGGTCTTCTGAGCACAAGAATGGACGTCTTTCATGGTGCCCTGGCAGCCATGTCATCCATGCCATCCATGGCAACGTCCTATCAATTGTAAAGAGATGCGCAACTGAGTCAGTGTGCAAGTGAGCAACCAGACAGGCGTAACCCACTGATTTGCACCTCTCATTGGACACTTCCCAGAGAGTATATGACTGGTGTTATGAGTAGCAGATGCTCTATGCGTCAGGTTTTGGCAGCAGCAGCTCAAAATCATGTGTGTGTACTTGGTAGTGTACAGGATGTACATAGAAATGCAGAGGTACTTGGAGGTACATGTCAATGTGACTGGAGCGCTGGCGCTTCAGACATTGCTGTAAGTTCCCTGAGCACACTGGAAATCCAATCTATGACGTAGCAATTAGTGTAGAACGCGCAAAATGTAATGACTTTCAAATGTAATGTAATATTCTGGAATCAGAATAGGCACAATGTGTGACTGCGGTAGGCGATTGAGCAGTCGTCCTGACAGGAATGCAGCATCAGCAGTAGCGCACCACATACATCGCAGGTTGATAGCACGGCAGGTAGTACACCAGTGTATGCCACGGATGCGATCTGCATGGCCCACCATTGACAGCCCGTGCGTTTCTGCCTCAATGCCGTGTGTGTTTGGTCGTGTCCCTGGGACCGTATTGCCAAAGTCTTCGCAGATCGTCCACCGAGGGCAGTTTGCGGCGATGGAAAAGAAGGTCCCGGGGTCACAAACACCCCACAGATATGGTATCTGACGCATACGGTATCTGCGGCTTCATCGTTTAACTAGTAACACTGAGTAATACTCAGCAACGACACCCAACAAGGGCATGAAATTAGTCCCTCTGTCTTCCGTTAAGGCCCCTTCTTGTTTCGGACACGGTAATCCCAAAAACACTGACCCAACAACCCCGCTGTGTTTCTTCACACTGCGCTCAACGTTCCTGTTTGCTCCTGGACGCAGGCGAAATCAGTGGTGCGGGCCTCCGGCAGCCGCCAGCTCAGCGCCGTCTCGGCCAGCGTGCGGCCAGTGTGGGAGCAGGTCAAGCGCAACGTGAAGGAGGAGCGCACGGAGGCGGCGGAAGCGCTGCGATGCCTGGCCTTCGGCATATTGAGGCCGCTGCAGGCCGCGCTGCTGACGGCCGCCGCCCAGAGTATTGACATAATGCTCGTGGCCGCCTGTCTCGAAATTCTTAGCGAAGACGCCGCAGAGGGTACCGACTCTGGAGCGGCGCGGACTTGATCCCAAACATAGGTGGCGAAATACGCCTCTGGAGGGCGAGTCGGCGGATTTGGCGAGCGGGATTTTAAGTTCCATTATTTCTTGATGTCGGAAGGGCGCGTGTGTTCACGGCGTGGACGCACGTCGTTGTGTTGCGTTGCGTGGGAGGGGATTGGGCAGAGGACTCGTCGTCTTGTTTGGACGTCGTTCGTCCGAATTGTTTTGTGGCCGCCTCTGTGGCGGTCGATAAGGTGGCCGCGCGGGGATGGAGAGCGCTGGCCTGTGTAGACAGCAGCCCGTTTTTGGAAGCGTGGTGCAGGGCGCAGTACTTTACAGTACTTGCCTGTGCCACTTTGTCCTGAAAGAGTATTGCTTGTCAGGCTTGGCGGAGAGTCTTTCTGGGGAGCTGCCTTGTGCATAAGAGGGAGCCTGCCGGCCCTGCCGAGCTCACGGCGTCGTCCTGCCCTTTGGTGGACGAGCGAAGCCGGCACGTGGGAGGCGGAAGTCGAGATTCGCTGTCTCACTGGGAAAGGCGCACCCTCCCCGCCGTTCGCTCACCTTTGCAGGTGAAATTCGTTGTCTTTTACATATGAGGAATGTCTATTGTGGGTCAAGATTGTCCTCTTGTCGCTGGCGAGACGGCTCCGAACCCTTTTTTGACCTCAGTAACTTGGTCGGCCGCGGCGCACAAGTGCGGGGAACAACGGGCGCGGCTGCATCTTCCGGAGTGCGCCTGCCTGGGTCCTGCTGTGGTGTGCGGCCGGCACAGGACCCCCGGTGTGTTTTGACCCTGCCTCTGTGACCTGTCGATTTCGTCAATCTTGGAGTGGGCGCCCTTGGCTGCGCCTTGTATATTATGTTTCGGTGGCGTGTGGCAGGGGTTGAATGATCGCGGTCACGTGGCATCATGATAGTGAATTTGGCGTGGTTGCCGTGAGGCAATGGCGGTGCCGAACAGAGATTGCCAGGGGCGTGTCCGTGGTAGTGTGGAGTGGAACCCAGCTCGTGGGGTTTGTAAAGATTGAAACCGTGGAGCGCGCTGCTGCAGTTGTGGTTTTCTGCCAAGTGTCCTCCATCTGTTGGCCATCTTGCCGTGCCATCAGTAACATGCCGTGTCCATGCGACGGCGCCCAGTGCGTCGACACAAATGGGTCCCAAAATGGTGCTAAGCCTTGCATGAGTCGGCTCGGTCTTAACCAGTGAACACCACATTGGCCGGTTCAATGCAATTAAACAATTCCTGACATACACTGCTTTTGCTGGTGATCGGGTTGTACAAGTTCATTATGGACGTATTGAAAACATGCCTTGCTATGTGGGCCTCTTCCCGGACAAGAATCTTGCGAGAATGAACATGCTCAGTCAGCTGAGGTCTTGTGAGCATTGAGAGTCCATAATGGACTCTTACCAGATAAATTCATTCATTCGAAAATTTACAACGCAGGCTAACCATTAACTCCAATACAAAAAGGCCGTGCATGTCCCCCGCAAGCGCTTTCACATAATGTCGCATGTGCATGCGCAATGCACCACTTCCCGGGAGGCACACGCATATGCAACCCCGGCGCATCGTCATGCAGTTGCACGGAGGCATTTCAGTGTGCTGCCTTTACGACCAAAAACAGCTCAAAGTTGCGTGATGGTTGGCCAGCACGATTTGGCGGGACGTGGCGTGTATTCGCAGCAATACCCCAGCCGATTCATTGGGTCGTCAGCCCCTCGGGACACGGAACGGTCGACCTCCCGTGCGGGTGTCTGAGTGCAATCAGCCACTCATGCAGGATCTCAAATCCAGCAGAATCGGCTGCCTGCATGTGTCTATCTCGTTGCATCGTGCGCGAGACGCGTGCTGAAGTGCGCACCACTCAATCCAAGCGACCGCATCGCCAGGGGGGGCGGTCCTTGATTTTGCAACGACAAGAAGATTTGCATTTCCGCCTTACGTGACACTCTTCCAACTCTCGAGTCCACACTGGCCCAGTGCGTTACAAATTTTGCCCGCACCGCGTTCACGTGTCGTGAACGGCTGGCCACGACTCCCTTTAAAAGCATGCCCAAATACAAATGTCTGACCAGCCATCACTCGCCGCCCTTTGGCCTTAAAATCCGGCCGACGGCCAGGAGGAACCGCCCCTATGTGGCGCGGCTTGAAATTAGTCCCTCTGCCTTTTCCGCGAAGATCCCTTCTTGTTTCGGACATCCTAAACCCTGAACCACTGACCCACTGACCCACTGACCGGCGTTGACCTTGTCAGCGGAAGACGAAGCGGCCGTCACGGAAAAGCTGGAGGGACGAACATATTCTCTTGTGGTGCCCCGCCTGGGCTGCTGACGTGTTCTCGTCTCCCGCCCGTGTCTCCCCAGCCAGAAGCCCGTTGTCTACATCAATCCCCTATCCGATCGACCTTCGCATCTGCTGAACTGCCATATCTCCAGCCCATTGAGCTCCCCCCCCTACCCCCAAACGCGATCATCACCAATTCGCCGCCAGCCTTAACGCTCACGCAATGGCGCACTCGACACCCCCCTTGCGTCACGCTGACCCAGCCGCCGCCTCTTGTCACGGTTACAAATGGCCCCCCGGTCGCTTCGTAATGCGGCTCGCTGGTCCCCAAACCCACCTAATCGGCACGTATACACCAGCGAACGCCAATACCAACATACACCAACGGACGAATACCAACGCGCAGTGCCGCCGTGGGGGGAGGCCAAGCCACCCCACATAAACTAGCGCCCTTCCGCCCCTTAACGCGGTTACCCCCAAAACCGCCTACGGCGGCCAGGACTGCCTCCGACTCTGTCGGCGTGGCGACCCCAATCGGAGAGGGGGGACGCAGGGCGCGCGGTCCGGCGGTGGCATCGGACCGATGAGGCTGGCCGATCGGTCGATGGCTCGGCGGAGGGGGGGGAGATCGGCGCGCGGGCGGGCGCCACCGGGCGCCGGAGAGAGCGACCCGCATGCGGCGGCGTCCTCGGCAGGTGCGGGAAGGAAGCTTGGAGATTTCCAGCCATTTGAATGCCGCGAGGGGCAAGTGGGGATTCGAGTGGCGGGCGCCGTGGGGCCGGAATTTGAGAATCTTTGGAATCGGCCGCCACGGCGGCCAGCGGCGCGATTTCTCTTCTCAACGGGGCGAGGTGCCGGCGCCGTACCGGAGGAGGGGGGATGGCGCCATGGGCCGGAACGGAGCGGGGCGGTCGGTAGTCGGTAGAGCGCCGCGGCTCGCGACGGATGCCCCAGGATTTGATCGGCGGCGCGCGGCGCGACCCGGCGGCGTGGGACGAGGCGGCGCGCGTGGGGGATTGGCGAAGGGCTCTGTTCAGTTTCCGTTGGGGTGGGCTAGCCGCGCGCCGTTCAGCGGAGGTCCCGAATCAAGTTGGGTCGACGGCCGGCAGTCCAGCCCCACTCTGCGCCTGATGACTCGGCGTGCGGGCTGGGGTCGAAGATATTTGGCCTCAAACGCCCGTGGATGGCGTGGACGCGCCGGGGGAGTGGAAGGGCTTCCAACGGTGGCGTTCTTTCCCTTGCGGCTTGCTTCGCCACACCCACCGACTCACCCCCTACTATCGCTTTCCATCCCGGCGTTTGCGGACGGACCAGTTGGCGGGCGCCTTCAAAACGTCGATGAGGATCCTCGGACGCCGACCCGCGACCGGGCTGTGCTGCCGGGCCGCAGGCGCGGCGCCCCACGACGCCCGAGCGCCGCGCCATCTGGCGAATGCTGGCGAGTCCATGCGAGCGCAACGGCCCCAGGTAACGGCGCACCTGGGGGGCCCCGGCGCACGACGCCAATCCCGATCTGCAGCGCGATTCGCGTCGACAACCGGTGTAGGCACGTGGACGGATCCCCCCGCGTCCGATCGGGACCTCGCGCCGACGGGGCCCGCCTCTGGGCGTCCCGAGGCCGCGCGGCCTGCCTGGGTGTCTGTTGCCGAATGCATGCTCTCAACCGGCAAGGTCAGGTTTCGCATTAAAGCAAGCTTCCTCCTTCCCCCCGCCTCCATCCCACGCGCACACCCTTTTGTTGTTTCGCCCTGAGGCGTCGAGCCTCTGGGTGGGCTCTTCTGGCGGGTGTCCACCGTGGCGGTGGGACTGTGGCGGCAGGGCGCCCGTCGGACCCTCAGGTGCATGTGCGCATGCAGAGTGGGCGTCGCGTTGCGCGGTCCTGCCCGTGGGTGAAGATGTGACATCTGCGTCAGGGTGTGAGACGCGTCGCGCGAGGCACGCGGCACCTTTGGAGAAGATATCGTGCCCTCTGTCTTTCCCGTGAGATCCCTTCTTCTTCCGCTGACAAGGCCAACGCGGGCCAGTGATTTCCAGTGGTTTGGGGTTTAGGTTATCCGAAACAAGAAGGGATCTTCACGGAAGGCATGGCGACTAATCGGGTGCCACCTTTGCGGGGCATTACATGGAACTGACCCCCCGTTGAGTCGAACGGATTGATTGGCGCTGATGGCGGTGACAGGTCACTGACTGGTTCGCCGCTGGAGAGGTGGTTTCGGTTGAGGCAGTCTGGGAACGAGCTGAAGGCGACGGGGCTGCACATGGATCCCAAACAGCGATGTCTCTTTACGGCCAGGCCATCTACCGTAGTGTGTTCAATCCTTCCGCGTGGTAACGTAACGCTTGGTTTCTTTTGCGGAGAAAACAATAAAACAAACAACGCTTTTTTACAAAAATGCCGAGCAACGTAAAAAAATAAAAAACGACGCTCTGGAAAAAATGCTGAGCAAAAGGCGTAACAGTAAAATTCTTTGATGCGCAAAGGATGAACATACTACAGTATTCAATCCGTGTATCATGATTGTGTCGCATCAGCGGCTGCGTTGGAATTTGGAGGCAATGAGGCGGTCGTTGGCAATCCGCCTCCGACGATCCGCGCTCGTAGCGGCAGTTTGCTGAATTTAGCGGCTGCTGGCCTGCACTTGGGCGCGGATTTTTGTGCACGGCTTGGAGAGCCCACATCTCTGCTATTAGGCCGGGGATGCCACATGGGATCTGAAATGCCATAAACTGTTTTTTAATAAGAAAAAGCGCATATAAAAAACCAAACGACACCCAGAGTTTGTTTGTTTGTTTGTTTCTTCCTTACATGGATGCATCGACATGACGTCACGGCATCGATCAATGTAGCGAACCACTCAATGTACGAAGGGCACGTCCAGGCCCAATTCTAGAACCGAAAGCACGCCTCTAATGGCGGCCATTGCTGCCACCGAACCCCAGGAAACTCCCCCACAAAAACAAGAGAAAATATCTGCAAGCCAAGAATCAGCGCTGCGGGTACATCCAGAGTGGAGCTGGCTGGAGTTGCTAAGTGCAAGCCTGGGTTTGTCCGCTGTCTTCTATTCATCTTGCTGGTTGGATATGCGGTTTAACTACGTTGTTTGTGACAGTAACCAGTACTTGCCCACGCGACTCAGCCACATTTAAACACGCTGACACCTGCCATATTTCCTGAAGAGTCGTAAGTATTGTGAAAACCGTATATACGGTTCCTGTTCAGAATGAAGGAATGAAACGCAGACACAAGTTGCGTCAAATGTTTACCAGTTTACAGTGCTCGTGACTTCACAGTATCCGCAAAAGATGGCAAATGTATTTGATTGTGGGCGTCTTGAATCCACAATCGAAGAAATAAATTCTTATGGGAGCTTCCATGGCTATTGGCATGCACCCGACGCTGGTGAAAATTTACACCGAAAGACCGGGCAAGGCTGCGCGATTTGCACCCATTCTTGCAAGGATTTTGTGTTTGTCGCCAACATAATTCCTGACTTCTATTTCTACTGAAAGTTTTTCAGCAAATTTTACAATTAGAATCTGGGAAAAATGGCACTGTTGGTTTGCGCGATTGGGGCAAGATGACCAGGAACAGTGAAACTCGCCATGCACAGCTCATTTGCAATTCGGCAGCCTTTAATGCAACGACGATGGCCCGTTTCAAAATCCATGGATTGCATTTGTCAGAAAATGACAAAACACAGCCCGTGCACCTGGTAGGCGATGATGGGCGATGACTAATGAAATCCCCATGGATTGTGTCCAGTGTATGTAGTGGCCCGACAAAGTGCATTGAGTGTGCAGCAACGCTGACACTGCCTATGCGGCATCCACTCGGAAAATTTACTCAGATACTAGACATCAGATACCAGAAATCGAAACCACGCATCAGCAAACACCTGCATTAAAGTATTTTTGTCATACTAAAATTATTCTGGAACAGAGATCGCCTGTACGGATAGTGCAACTGAAAGCGGTGGCGTTTGGGATCGAGGTCTGCCACGAGTGATGCACAAGCATCGTTGCATCGCTGTTCGCTTCACATGAATGGAGCAGTTGCGAAAGAACTATTTTCAAGTTTTCTTAGCTGTTGCCGCTGCATAGGTGCATCATAGCATGGCCACTTCCCGAGCATGCTAACCCCCGATGTGTACGATTATGCAGGCGGTGATGGGGATGGTACGCCGGTCGTTCACGAAGGCGTGCACAGGTGAGACCTCTGGTGGCACGTTGCCAAGATATTAACCGTTTTGCACACTTTGGGTGGATTTGCAGTAGAATTTCTATTTCTGAAGAGTCCCGACCTCGGCAGACATTGCCAGGTTTTACGTAAACTTGGGCTGTCTGGTGTCGGAAACCGGGGCATCTGGGAGTTTTCCTGCCGATGCAGCCGAAGGGGTTGCGGCGATGCGTCGACGGCGCCGATGACGCCTCCTGCGGGCATTTCTCCGCTGAAGCGCCTTCTTCCCCCTGCTGACGTCGGCGAGGAGGCCGATTCCCAAATACCAGTTTTGGCGGAGGCTGAGCCTTTTGTCTTGGTTTCAGAAATTTATGCACTCTTCCCTAGACACCAAGAACGAGGACTCTTTCTTCGACACCGAAAATGCTCCATTCGGAACCCAGGAATAGAATCTCAAGCACCAACCCAAAACATCGGCGAAAATTCTGCACTGTTCCTGCGCTGTGCTTGATAGCAGAACGAAAACAGGTGCACTTTCATGTGCATTTTGCTCATCTTTGGACGTTTTTCTACAGTGGAAAGCGTCGGGAGCTTTTGAAGCGGAGGATGGAAGGCAGAATCACTGGGCGCATGAAGAAGATGAAGAGGAGGCACATTTGCCGGCGGTTGTGCGTCAGCAAGACTTGCCGCCGTTACAGGTGGGGCAACCTGCGCTGAAAGAATTCACGTTTCACCATCGCCTTGTGCGCTTCTTGCGTAAAACGCCCGTCACGCGAGGAATTCTGAAGAAGGAAAGTTCCCACGTGAATTGAGCCAAATTGTGCGTGAGCGACGTGCTCCGTGATCGCGGTGCCAGATCTGGCTTCAGAGCAAATCGTTGAGTGTGCATTGCGAAGTTGTTTGTCTTGCATCGTTCCAATTTTGTGAGCGTTCCCACTGAGCCACTATATGCCGATATGTCGTGTCACGCTGTACCTGTTGAAACGCATTACAGCAGTAATTTCCGGAGTATTTCATGATTTCCATCCATTATTCGCTGCGGAGATTGAAGAAATTCAGGCCGTGGAATGGAATTAACGGTAATGTCTCCATAGGACAGGGATCGCAAGAATAGGGAGTGGGTCCAGCTCATGCGGCATGCTGTGGAGCTGGAGAGGCGCCTTGCTGGATGGCAGGACCTCGAGCGGGACAACCAATTTTTGAGGGGCGCTGTCCGGCAGCTGGAGGCGGTCCTCAGGGACCAGCAGTGCGTCATACAGGAGCTCCAGAAGCTGCGCGAAGTAGGGTCACCTGCTGAGAGCCGATTTGGTGAGGCGCAGTAGAGATTTCAACCTTTGCTTTGATGCCTTTTTCTCGATTTCGCAGCAAGTCATGACTTGCACAATTGATCAATTGAAGGGAATGTGTCGGTCTGTGGAGTGCAAATGGATGGTTGCCACAATGATATATCTTCACAATTGCGAATGATGCTGCGACTGCTGGTGTTCGATGGTTGGCAGAGTGATGTACTTCCACCATAACGAATGGTGCTGCGAGTACAGCTACCGACAAAGTGCACCGCCACAGCAGGCGCACTGCAATCGACTGACCATTGCTTGCGCCACTGGCTGGCTGACTGATAGACTGATTCTTGAATCCTCGGCCTGCAGAGTCGACTGTAAGATTGGTACAACTGTTCATTTACTCCGTGCTAGCATGTGCATTGTGCGACGTTTACTCATCAAAAGAGGACACAATGCGCATCTGTTGATGCCACCGAGCTGCTGTGACCATAGATTAGTAGGCGCTGCGTACAGTGCGCTTCACTGGCGGAGGATTGCTGTGACACTTTCTTCGCTCTGCAGGAGTGCTCCCACGGCGTCTGCGCCTGGAGAGGCGATGCTCCGGGACGTCAGCATCCCCTACGGAGACCCCCACATGCCGGCGGCAGCCTGAAACCATGCAAGCCGCCCAGCACCGAACGGGCCTGATGCATCGGCAGCTGGAGGAGCAAACGCAAGCCCTCAGAAACTTTCTAGCAGCCAAGTCCATTCGCGAGGGCGCTCACGAGGCAGGTGGGCAGAACTGAATGAAAGCACAGGTTTCGCAAGAACTCGATTCTTTAAATTGGGTCAATGGCCAAAAATTTATCTCGGTGTGTCAAGTAATGAAGACCGTCCACACACGTATTTTTGTGCCATTGTTTTATGTAGTCATGTACTCATATGCATAATGTGCAGCTGCGCGATTCTGCACACAGGCGATACTGCCTCCAGAATCTGATGAAAACTTTACCCCGGTTCATGCAGCTGCGAGCAACTGTTGAACTGCGCCACATTGCTGGCGATTTTGCGTCAGTCCAGTGACCTGACCGAGAGATCGTGAAACCGCGATGTCAGGTCCGTTCTCAGCTGTCGGCGATTCCAAACAGCGCCACCTCCAGCACACTTCTGCGGGCCACCTTCCGCCAACAAAGGAAGCTACACCTTGCGATCTCAGCGGCTCCCATGATACAATAGAATGTACAGGAAAATGCACGAAAGCGCGGAAATGCAGAAAGTGCACGAAAGTTCCCAAGAGTGCATACGTGCAGAAAGGGACATATGAGGGTTTCAAAAAGGGCGCATTCGCCAGTGTCATGTTGCGCCCAACTCATTTTTCATTTTCTCATTTTTTCATTTTTTAATTTTTCCATTTTTTCATTTTTTCATTTGTTCATTTGTTCATTTTTTTCATTTTTTCATTTTTCATTTTTGAATTTTTGAATTTTTGGATTTTTGGATTTTCTGTTATTTTGAGATTTTGTATTTTTGGTTTTTTGGTTTTTTGGTTTTTGGGTTTTTTGGTTTTTCGATTTTTCGAATTTTTTGATATTTTGATTTTTTTGAGATGAAACGCTTGCAATCGAACGATCCTATCCTCATCCTGGACGAAAACCTGTCTAGGAGCGGAGGACGTGCAGGCCCTGACCGACATGCTGGCCGCCATCGTGGAGAGCTCCGTGGCCCTGGCCAGGTCGCGGGTGCCCAAGCCTTGCGACCTGGCATGCCACCGCGGGCGGCACCCCGGGGCGGGGCCGGGCCGCAGCGATGTGGAGAAGTGCGTGCGGTGCCTGAGGAGGCTCAAGCTGTCGCCGTCGCAGAAGGCGGCGGTGGTGAACCTGCGCCGGGAGCAGGAGGCACAGCTGGGAAGGGTGTACGAGGCCAGGGCCATGCTGAACGACCAGGTGAGGGCATTTGTGTTGAGGGTTGTCCGATGCCAGTCATTACTGGATGTGAGGTCATGAAGGGGCTGCGGAGGGCTTGAAGGGGCCTGAGACCCCAAAGCTCCCTGAAACACCCCCAAAACGCCCAGGCTCTGTGTCATCCTTTCACAGCATGAAAAAGAGTCTCGCGTCCACACGCTTGGAAGGGGTGCCCTTTTTATGACCTTTCCTTGTCTAACTTTGTAGCAGATCTTGCCCTAAACAACTGAAACAACCCAAGCGCCCTTAACCCGAAAATGACCCTCATGGCCTTCGTCACGGTGAGAAAGGCAGGGGGGGGGGCGAGGGGGGGCGAGCGCTGACTGGGGTACTTTGGGCTGTAGTCCACGGCAGCGGTTTACAGCGGAACAAGGGGACAACGCGAATTCTGTCGCTTATATCCAGTCCGTTCGTCTATGTTCTCAATGCGATTCCTAGTGCCTCGTCATCTTGCCATGCGCCCAGCTGTTAGTAATACTCAATCAGGTCTGGTTACAACAACATCGTGTCCGGGAATGAAGGGTGTCGGACAGGTGTGTTTGTATGCTGTATGCATGATCTGTCGGACAGCTGTGTGCCGCTGGCGTGAGCTCCGTGGTTGAAAGATTGAAATTTTGGGGAAAACGGGCGTCGTTTTGCGACCTTGTTATCCTAGTGACGTGTGAACAATGTGTGCTGTGTCTCCTGCTTGGCCGTCTTGAGAACTTTTTCTGGGGGAGGAGGAGCGCTTTCGAAGGGGCTTGTTCGCTGCGATGTTGCGCCTTGCGCGAAGCAAGTAGCTGCACGTGGGAGTTTTGCTTTTTGCGTACTTCTCACATATTTTTCCTATTCTATGTGTTCTAATGATTTGTTAATATTGTGCTTGAGAAGTTCCAGTACAATCAGAGACGGTTTCTGCTAAGTCACGGAGCACCGCAAAGTAAAGTGCAACCCCCTTGAAGACTAGAATCGTCGTCAAGCATTATTGTTGAGTACGTAAACGGCTGAACGAGTACCGAATTTTACTGAATACTGGATATGAAACAATTGAACTGCTGTGGAACACAAAGTACTGTAATCACACCGACCGCATGGACTGCCAGGCGAGGGCCATGCTGCGCGACTGGGGTCCAACCTCCGCGGAGGTGAGGGCCGTGTGGCTGGAGATCAAGCAGAACGTGCGCCGGGAGCACCAGGTCGTGGTCGACGGCCTACGGGAGCTCCTCATGAGCATCCTGGAGCCGCTCCAGGCCGCTCTGCTCGTCGCGGAGGCCCGCCCCCCCGACTGCGACGTCATGTGCCTGGGCGCCGCCCTGGCTGCAGCCGCCGTTGGGGGCCAATGCTGCCGGCCCCATGGTCAGAGGCACACACCCGGGAACCAACAAAGCACCGGGGCGGAAGCCGAGGAGTCAGCGGTCTGATCGGCGCAGGCCTGGCCGCGTTTTGTAGCGCCCCCGTAGGAGGCGATCTGCCGCTGCGGCGCTTGAGCAGCACGGTCGGCGGCGCATGATCGCAATGTTTTTCTGTTCGGCGATGGTCCGACGGGTTCCAAGGAATCAAAGTGGATTTCGCTGCTTTCGCGCAGCGCCACTGTGTGAGGCGACCTGCTCTTGCGGCGCTTGAGCAGCACGGTCGGCGACGCATTGTCGCGATGTTTTCCCTGTTGAGCGACGGATCGACGCGGTGCGGGGATGCCAGCGCGCCGCTGCGAGGCGCGAGGCAGGGCCGAGTCGGTCGGTAGCCATGTTGGCCGAAGGCCGTGGACGCAGGAGTCCAGAAGTCGGAGAATAATGGATCGCTGCGACTTGGGTCCACGGCCGCGGCGCTTGCCCCGAGGTGGGGTCCTAAGGGCACGGCACCTGTCAAGGCCGGCGCAGCTGGCTGGGGTCAACGAAGTGGAGGCGGCCATGTGTGCGCGGTGGCCCATTCGTGCAACTAGGGCAGAAGCTTGAACCGCTGGGACTGCTGATGTTTTGAGGGTCCCTCTGTGTCCGGCGCGATTCGAGCGTTACGGACATCGAGTTGGGGACTTCATCGGGGGCTCAGCGAAATGAGGTTTTGTTGGTTTTAGAGCTTCGAAGTTTCAGGAGTTTGTTAGGATTCAAGACCTGGTCTCCACCTGGAAATATCATTTGTGTAGATCATGGGGCGCACAATCACGACATCGAGCTGGAGTTCATGGACCAGCGCAGAGACATGTCCATATGCTGGGGACATTTCGAAGACAATTTTGGTAAGATGGCAAGATGGCAAAGCGGCAAAAGCCTGCGTTGGTCAAACCCTTTGAGAGCAGAGTTTAAAGAGCGATTTCAGCAGCGTGAGACTTGACCAGATCCGCAAGTCCTCGTTCATGTGGGCAATGCTCTTCAGGCCATCCACATTGGAAAATACAGCACTTGATTCTATCCACACACTCCCATTCTCTCGGGTGATGTTACCTGAGCCATCCAACTCAGAAACTTGGGATTCGATTGAAATAGTGAGTCCCCATTCACCTACATGAGGCTGTCAAGACCTTCCATGCTCATCAACTTCTTGTCAACAAATGAAAGGTCCTCTCCAACAAACCGGACGCCAGCATATGTTCTTAGTGATTGAACTGCAGTATTGCAAATGACAAGACTTCGCCAAACTTCTTTCAAAATCCTTGGCACCAATGGCTCCAAGGAATTGACCTGGTTGCCAGAAATGTATTGAGATTCAACCACATTGTTCATCCATATTAGAAGAACAGCCAGATCTTGCAAAAAAATTCTTTTCCCTTTTTGTGGCTCAGGCAGTCCTGGTGACGATCAAAAGAAGCGAGGCGAATACCTTCACCACACTCAGTGCCATCCAAGCAAATGCATGTAGAGTTGAATCTTTGGTCAGAGCACTTGCCCTGAGCCCAGGTTGGTGCCAAGATGAAACCCAAGCACAGCAGACCGAACTTCCAACCAAGTGCTTTCCAAAAATCGATCAAGCAAGATTGTTGTTGCATCACCATGTTCAATGAAAGCTGGAGGTACGTATTTTCTTCAAAAGGGCAGACAGCTCCACGACATCAAAACCTGGGAACAGCCAGAAATTTTAGAAACCTCGTGGGCAAAATTTGACCAAATCAGCTGTCGAACTGCCTTTGCACGTATCTCCAACGGGACTGCTGTAAAATGCTGCCCATTAGGCACAGGTGGGGAGGAAAGAGGATCAGTGCTCCCATGTAGCATGAGGTGAATTGCCATAAACAATATTGGAGGTAATCAAACTACGATCTGTCGCATATTGTTAGTTCCAAACTCTCCCGATTTACACTGTAGTTTTCTCTTTTCCACCTATTGCGACACCCAGTGTGGGTTGCAATGAGGTTTTGCTGAACAATCTGTCCCATCAACGGAAAATGACACGCACTCAATTGTGGCAGCCAAAGCACGAGCATGAAGTATTTTTGGCTGTGTGATCCAAGGGGCCCAGGCAAGGATGAAGCTGGAAGATCCAATGAAGAATAATTTCCTGCACAGCTCGCTGCCAGTACGGGCAGAAGTGACAACATTTCATGGACTCAGCAGCAGCCGAGATAAAATACAAACAGGACAAAAACCAACAATCTAGAGGTGGATTGATGTGGGAGTCGATGGCCACTGGCACACTTCATCAAACAAATGCAAGGCAACAACAGTATCCTCAACTCAATGAAATTAGAGGGAACCGCCAACAAGCACACAAGAACGCTCATAAGCGTTGCCAGCACAAGAGCCACGATAATGGCGCACAAGTGATGTCAATGTGTCTGCAGCTCCCTGGACATTATTTTCTGATCCCCAGACAGTGGCTTGCGGCATTCTTGCCTATGCCCCAAGCCCTCCAGGCATTCCCCTGTTCCCACAATTGTATCGGCACCATCAGTGCCCTATGGCAACATGTAGAGCCACCAATCACTCCCTGCCGCCATAAAAACAAAGCACGTTTCCAACCTGGTTAACTTGCAAAAGGTGCTTCGCTGATATGGTGGCCGGCCACAAAGCTACGCTCAATGCTGGGTTCACCCAAGGCCATCTTCCACAGAATCAACAGGGAGGGGACGGAGAAAGGCTGGCAGGCGGCCCCGCGATCTGTGCGAGCTTACCAGCGACCGCTGGACGTGCAGCATCACAAAAAGGCACTGGTGAAATGTCTGTGGAAGCAGCCAAGCTGGGTAGTCGAAGTTTGCAACAAGAGGGTCGCAAAATGAGTGGCATCGGCTCCGCACCAAGCGAAGCAGCCCAGCCCGGTCCAGCAGAGTCCACTCACAAATAGCGTAGGAATGCAGGACCGTCCATGCGCATTTAATGCACAACACGCTTGCAGGATGCTGATCGATGCTTTCCCGGAAACTGCCCCCTAATGGTGATAGAGCAGTCACAGATAGAACACAGCAACAAAGATCAACACAGATCATCAGGATTGGATACAACACAGATCGTTGGATGCAACACGGATCATCAGGATTCATTTGCGACAGTCGTTGGGATGCATACACTTGCTTTAGTGGTAATTTGCCTGCGTCTCTGTTGCGTATGAGGCCCCACGCATGCTTCGTGCACAGGGCTTCCCCAGGACGCCAAGGAAGGAATGGAAGCCAAGGCGCCTTGGGCCAAGACGCTCAACTTCCGGACACGAGTGAGCAAGCTCCAAGCGGGATTGATCGTGCCGGTGTTCGAGTCGATAATAATTCTGCACGGCTTGCCAGTAGCCCAGTCGTGTCCGGTTGTCCGTCCAGAATTTCAGGAGCCTCTGGCGGCGCAGACAGCACAAAATTCTGCTCTCTCGTATCGCACAGAACTTCTGCGCAAGCCAGTGCCACCAAGGACCCCGAGCACCCTCCCGTTGATAGCATGAGGAGTTTAGCAGGTTACCTTGCACGCGGCGGCTCGCGTGGGATCTGCTGGAGAGGCGGAAGGAAATACGTCAGCTTCGCTGTTTGCTGACGGGTAGTCTCGCTGTCCCAGGGTGCCGATAACCGGAGCTCGTCGGGCCAATTTCGTTGGGCCGTTTCCGACGCCCATCGCTCTGGCAGCGCAGCATGGGATCGATTTTGGCGCTTTATGCTTTTGCTCTCGCTCGCGCGCCCCAGCTTGCACCGAAGCCTCTGCCGCTGCGCGCATGGCCAAGCGCGCCACTGTGCGTCTGATGCGCATCGGTGATTTGCATCGAAACACCCATCCAATGAATCCAGGAATGGACGCCCGCAGAGGTCCGCCTCGGAACCAAACAGCAGAGAACAAGGCTGCCCAAATAGGTGTGCCCACCTGTCCTTGGACGCTCGCTCTGGCCCCGCCCAACATTAGATATGGAAGGCTCCACGTCAGCTTCTCACGATGCGGAAGTCCATCCGACTAGCGGGACAGCATGTCGGGCCACTAGTAGAAAAACAGGCCAAATGACACGGTCCTGACACGGTCTGCTCAAAATCCAACTGTGTACTTTCGGCAAATGTGGTCCCAAAAGTGCACAGTTGGATTTTGAGCAGACCATGTCAGGACTGTGTCATCTGGCCTGTTTTTTCCTAGCGGGCGGCAGGCTATGCTGCGCACTGGCTGCATCAGGCAACGAATGGAGCTTGATTCAGAATCGCAGAATTCCCGGGGCACCCTGACCACGGCGCGACACTTCACCCTTGACCGTGTTGGTGGTAGCAGTTATGGTGGTGCAGCAGTCCTAGGCATGGCCTTGCTCGCAGGTGTCACGCCGTAGCGGCTGGTTTTGTCATCTAAGCCGACCGATAGACACTCGAGCAAGCCCTTGCTGCATTAACCTGGCGTCCCTCTCCACGCACTACCAGAGTCGCCCCGGAAGCTCGGTTCCTGTGACCTTACTGTGGCTTGTATGTACATAGGCTGTCTAGGCTCATAACATGCCTCTGCTGTGCAATCCGTGGTGCCCAGCACGAGGGAAAAAGAGCCGAATAACACTTTTTGCCAACACATTTATGCGAATTCATCAGTGCTCTGCACGCTAAAAACACGGAAATAACCCAAACCCGTAGACTTTATACGCGTTTGGGCATATGTTGTTTGGCCCTTTTTCCTAGTGCAGTGTCCTATTTGCTCAGCATGATACCAAGGGATCGAAAACACTCTGGCAATGTAACTGCGCCGCCTGTTCTCACCAAAACACGCCATCACAGTAATTTGCTTTGATGCCATCGCAATCGCTGTGGTGACGTCACTGAGCATCAGGATTGCATCGCTGCTGACATCACCAAGATGGCGTTTGCTGCCGGCAACAACGGGTCCCCCTCTCTTCCCTCGCGTTTGGGACCATGACTGACGGTTCCAACATTCGCAGCCTCTTGGCACGGTCTTTGTCTCGTGTGCCATCTTCGCCGCCCATAGTACGGGTAGATCGCTGCATGGCACTCCATGCTGTTTGCACCCCAGCGGGCTTCTGGGGAAGGGGCTCCGAT